TCCACCATCTTTCCCTGCGGCTTATTGCTGTCGGTAATGCGTTGATAAAAATGGTGATGGTGCAATGGTGATCACAATGTCGAAAACTGGACGCTTAATTTCGAGTCAATAAAATTCTGAGGAAATGTGAAAATTTCAAGTTTTTAAGAAGTCTTCAATAAGCTATCAGTGAATTTGAAACAAGGATCCTGTGATGATATTAAGTCCATTTTTTTCATTTTTGACTTGGGGGTTCTGTGATTGCTGACCCAACTTGAACATCCTTTGACTCAAGGATCTTTTGATTTCTGACTCAAAGACCAAGCCTTTTAACTCATGGGTCCTAGGATTACAGACGAGTACCAAATGAAGAGCTGGAATTACTGAAGTGACCTTTTCATTCTAAACATAACAGATAGCTCCTAAATTATGACTCATTATTCCTTGCTTTTTACTCATGGTTTTTAATTAATGGAGAGTTTTTGGTTTCTTATTCAAGGGTCGTTTGATTTCTGACTCAAGGGTCCTTGGGTTAATTTAATTAAGCCTATCTTCTGCAGGAATGTGAACAACCAGGAGACACTTTGGAGTTACAGTCTTGGATGTCTCAACCAGTTCATCTCTGATGATATGCTCAAAGAAGCCTTCCCATCAGCGAGGCCAGATCTGCTGACCATTCCCAAGGACACAAGGACAGTCGAAGAGAAGATTGCTGATGATTCGGGAAGAAAGAAGGGAGTTCAGATGACAAAGAGATGGGAGACAAATCCAAAGGAGGAGAGGCATCTTTGGAGAGGAAGCAGGATGAGGAGCAACCAGAGATAGAGTCTTCTTCTGCAGCTACAGAGGTACCCTCTGAAAATGTCAAGGCATCGCAAGAACCATGGGGCTAATTTAGAAGAACAGATACCTGAAGACACACTCAAAGATGAAGACAATGAACCAAGGCATCTTCCAAACAGGAGCAGACAGAAGAGCAGCCGAAAAGAGAATTACCATCTGCAGTTGCAGCATTATCCATCGAAAGGGTCAATTAAGGCAGAGGAAAAACCCAGTGGGCAGGTATCAGAGAAAAGGGGCGTGACAGATGATGCTGAAAATAAGTAATTAGCAGCTGAGAACTGCAGTATCTTTAGATAATAAGCAGGTGAAGAACAACCAGAAAGGGAACCTTCAACTCAGGCAGCTTCTGAAATTGACCAGACATTAGGAGAATCAAATATCAGGGGATGAACGCCAGTATGCGGATAGTGTGCCGGACAAAAACACACTCACTTTGTATATAACCAGCCTTATGGGGACCGTTTGCAACACTCCGAATTCCACACGCAGTATATGAATAGTGTGCGTGACAAAAATTGGTCATTTATGCGTTTTCATATGTCGACTACACACTTCGCATGCTGTACATTTCTATACAATTGGCGGAATATACACACTTTGTATATAACCAGCCTTATGGGGACCGTTTGTAGCAATCATAATACCACACGCAGTATATGAATAGTGTATGGGACAAAAATACCCATTTATGCGTTTTCATATGTCGAATACACACACTTCGCATGCTGTACATTGTCTATGACATTGGCGGAACATACACACTTTGTATATAACCAGCCTTATGGGGACCGTTCGTAACAATTAAATTCCACAGGCAGTATTTGAATAGTGTGTAGGACAAAAATACCCATTTATGCGTTTTCATATGTTCACTACACACACTTCGCATGCTGTACATTTCTATACGATTGGCGGAATATACATACTTTGTATATAACCAGCCTTATGGGGACTGTTTGTAGCAATCATAATACCACACTCAGTATATAAACAGTGTGCGGGAAAAAAATGGTCGTTTATGCGTTTTCGTATGTCGAGCACACACACTTCGCATGCTGTACATTTCTATACGATTGGCGCAATACACACACTTTGTACATAACCAGCCTTATGGGGACCATTGGTAGCAATCATAATACCACACACAGTATACAAATAGTGTGCGGGACAAAAATGCTCATTTATGCGTTTCATGTCGACTACACACACACACACACACACACAAGTTGTAAACCAGCCTTATGTGGACTGTTTGTAACAATCTTAATTCCACGCGCAGTATATGAATTAGTGCATGTGTACGCATACTTGTTAGTTCACAAGTCTCAAGATTACTTTGGACGACTTGACAGGTAAGAAGTTATTGATATTAACTAAATAATTGTCCATATTCTTAAGCCCCTTTAGGTTCTTGTTATTTAGCCTAATGCCTTATATATGATTTGGATCAATGACATCAGTATTTATTACTTTAACTTAACTCTGACCATTAAATAGTTTGATTCATTGTTGATTTTATTCATACATGTCTTTTTTTCAGATTGGACTTTTCATCAACTCTAGTTAAATGTTTATTTTTGTAATTATGTTTTGGATATTATGTAGTCCAATCCTGAATTGCTTCATTTTGAGAATTATTTGGTTTTTGTTTTAATGTATTTTGGTGGATTGGAATCTTCTATTGTATTTTTATGTGGAATTAACGCCATTGAAAGAAAAATAAGGCCTACGCACAGTAAATGTTTAGCAACATGTCCTTGTCATGTCGCATTTTTTTGGTTGCCATATTATTTAAAGTAAACACAAAAAAACCCCAAAGTGTGCATCTGTTTTACGGCAAGAGCTAGCTAAGGATTATTCCATGACGTGACATTCAAAATCTGCCGAAAACTAGATGTTGATTTTTTTGTGTGTTTTAAAGGTGAAAACGGCTGAAAATGCGACATTTAAAATAACAAAACTTATTATACTAGCAGTTGGCTTAAAACGCGACATTTTAATTTAAGCATAAAATAACCTTTTTTTAGCGGCCGCATGCTCTACTAAAACAGCAGATGCGCACTCACTCCAGCTGGACATGGGGCATGCGAATCATCGGAGCAGGCATCTTGAAAGGTCGCGCAATCCTTATAATTCTAGTTCTGCCTTTTACGCTTTTCCTTTGCGGTATCGCTTTGTCAGTATATAGTCTCAAATATTGTGATGAGCCTTTCTGACTGCACTTACTACTTCCATGGTAACACTAGTTGTCTCTGTACGTCTGTTGAATTCTGACGGATGGCCGATGATCGATTCCTGCGCTGCCTGATAAAAGCTGTTTCTTCAGCTGGTCTTTGTAGCACCGAGACCGAGGACCACCACGGTCCCGGTTCCCAACTAGCAGCTCACTGAATTGACCTATCGCAGTTTGCGAGTTAGCTACGCCCCTTACCCTATGGATTTTATGGTACACAACTTTTTGTTTGTCTCAGATTTTGCGCGTTCCGCGTCCATTTGTATATCATGTAATTGGACAATATTTCATAAGCTGCGTTGACGCGATTCTAACGCGATTCTACAGCGATTGGTCAATTATGAAGAGAACGTGTCCTCCCCGTCCTCGCGGCCAAGTGCATTGGTTGGAGCAGAATGGACTCTTTGCTGGGCAGCATACAGACTCATTTTGAGACGGCCCTGCATGCAGCTCTTGATGCAAATTATGAAGTCTTTAGCTTAGGCAGCATTGGTGGACTTTTTCAAAAGCCTCAACTAGGCCTATAATCTCGGACTAGGCTCTCCCCCTAAGCGCAAGCTTACATACATGCAGCAGAGAGCATTGAAACCAACACCTCGCTACACCAGTGCAGGGCCTAGCTAGGGGTCGATCAAGATTTGACTCAAATTTAAAGGGAGGAGGTTTTAGCTGTCGGGGGACGGGGGTAAATAGGAATAATGTGCTACTGATAATCCTCGCAGCACGAATTGTGTGTTAGCTTCTTTTTTTTAAGCGACCGGGCTGACATTCAGAACTGACATTGGCGCCCGCGACGGACGTAATTTGACGGCCCATATGACGGACCCCTGGCCCAGGCTGTGTAACACTACAATTGTTGAAACACTGAAGTGGCCTTGCACAGGTCATACCACACTTCACCCATTTTGGTTGTGTGTAAGGCCTCAAACGATATCCTTGAGGAAAAACTAGCCAATTTCCCGACACTGCATTATCGTACACGAAGCTCCATATAGCATTTACTGTTGATATGAATAGAGTTCATTCTATAGTGAATGTAAAACACACAATGCAAAATTGTTGGCTACGGTTCAAGTGAACTTTGTATTGCATGCAGCGAGTCTGGAAATAGAGCGCCACATGCCGCAATTGCAAGTGCACCTGTGCACGTCCATTTTTAGTGACTACCTCGGGCCAAGTGACGTGCGTGAGTGCAGTCATAATTCCCAGCCTCAAGTCCTCAACCACGCCCATATCTGGATGGTGTTCATGGTGAGTGGGTTTACCTGTCATTGGTTAGGAATTATAAGATATAGATGTCGAGACAGGGGTTGAAAAATTCATGGATGTAATTGCTTTCAATGAGGTTGCAGTTTTCTGTAGAGCCTCACTGATATAGTGCACTCCGCGTGGATATTTACATCGGACCTAATTGTTATTGGTAATTGTCACAGAGCTGTTCTTTATTATGCAGCTCTATGGTAATTGTATATCAAATACATGGTGTAGGTATTGGGGAACACTGAGGTATTGGGGAACGCGGGTAGACCCCGTGTATGGCACATTTAAATTGACTAACTGGGTCTATGGTGTGAGGGCAGTTAAGGGGGGGGGGGGGTTACTGCATGGAAGGAACACAACAATGTGAATTGTTTCAAACAATATAAAGCTAGGCCCTATATTATTTATTGCCTTTTTTTAAGGTTGGGGGGGGGGGGGGAGAGGGTGGCTTTTTTGGGGGGGGGGGGTGCCCTGCTTATGTCCACATAGTTGCACCACGGACAATTTTGTGGGATAAACTGCCACTGCCAAACTTATTAGTTGAGTAAAGTGCACCACGAAGTGATGAATATGATAGTTTTGTCCCACTTAAGTGACAAATTGTCGAGCTGTGATGGGTCAGTACCTTTTTTTTTGGTCTAGAGCATATTATTTTCTTTGCTTCCTTTTTGGCTTGACGGGTTTAGGTTGCACTGAAAGGTTGAAGATGGGGAATACAATAGAACATCCGTCTGTGGAGCTTCCCCCGGAGAAGCTGGTGATGGTCACAGGTGGAAACACTGGTAAAAAAATGTTGGTCTTTTCACTAAATCCCTTGCAAATTTGACTCTTTCTTTTGGGGTTTAACATCCAGAATCCTGCATAATGCACCAGAATCTTACACAATTCACCAGATTCCTACAGACCTCTATTTCATCAGGCTCCGTGAAATGCACCAGTTGGTTTCAAACTGATACTGAGTTGTTTTTGTACTCTGAAGGAAGAAACAATCAGATTGTTTGTCCTTTTTGCACTATTTTCTTTCAAAAATACCTCAATTCTTTTGTAATGAAGAAAGTTTGATTTCCTTTGATGCAGGGATTGGATATGAAACAGCAAAGTCCATAGCTGAGATGGGAGCAAGAGTGTGCATCACGTGTCGCTCAGAGGACAAAGCTAAAGCGGTGAGTGTTGTTTTAGGGAGAACATCCGACTCAGTGAATTTGTGGTACAATAACCAAAAATGGAACTGTTAGGAGCTCACTTTTGAAATTGAATATGGTAAAGGTGGTTACTTTTTGGTAAAATTTAGACCGAATCTCATAGAGCTTAGCAAAAATCAACTTATGACCTGTTTCAGTTAGCAAATCCTTTCTGTGCTTAACATATATGTTAGCTGTGTAAAAATGCTCTGAAAAGCTTTGCCTCACACAGTATGCCAGGTTGTATCCTTTCATATACAGACAGAAGTGATTGAAGCAAGGTATCTGGCTCAGGGACACAAAAAAACGAATAAGGCTCACAAAGCTTAGCTTAACTTATTACTCAGCAACAAGCAGCTCAGATCATATATCCACAATAAAAAAAAATTCGCATGACAACTTTGCTTGAAAAATAAAACTTACTTTTGCATGCAAAATGTCTTATGCGCATTAAAGGAAATGTACATCATTGGCTTTTGCTGTAATTTTCAGAACCGAACTATTTTGGGGGTTAGTATAATAGATCAAATATTGTTACACTGACATGTTTGAAGTTTTGCGTTCGAAAATGCTGGAAAAACCAAGAAAAACAAAAATGTTCAAGTAGTCTAGTTCCCCGACTCCACTAAAGATGAAATGGATCAAAAATGCCGGAAAATTTTCAGGTAAGGGAACCAGTCTAGCTGGCCTGCATCCATTCATGAACATAGAACCAATAGCAAACAAAATTTGGACTGAAAAAAAACAGAGGTAAATATGGAGCAGTAGTTTGAAAAAAAGTTACGTTTTTACAACGGTGGTCGGCCGACCACCGTTGGAAATGTATACAAAAGTACCATTATTCTTGAAAATGACTTCACACCAGGTGCCATAATTTTACAGGATGCTTTAGACTGTCATTTACCAACATCCTAGTAAGGTATTTCGTAACAATTCGGTAGTTTTATTTTTCGATGTTTGCAGATGTTGTATTTTCCTTTAATGTGGCCCCAGGTATTGGTTTTATTTTACACCAAAATAGGATTTTGTTGGTCTTTTACATGTTTTAGGCTATAGAACGGATGCAGGAAGAACATAAGAACGAAATGCAGAAGAGAAGTCATGCAGAGGTAAATGGAACCTTTCTTGAATTGCAACAACGTGTCTGACTTGGATGATCAAAACTGCTTCACTTGAAGTCCTAGTGGGGGCTTTTTCGAAGTGAATTTTGGGTCACGAAACTTAGGTGCCTTTTTTTGACAGATTTGTGTATAGGAAGCATTGCCTATTGGCCAGGGCCCTGTGACACTAGCTTGCACCTTAACTTCCTAAAAGCGTCCTTCTTGGAGCTGCTGGAGGCTTGATGGGAGTGGTATGCTCTCTAAAGGGACTAGTTTACCTGATTGTTGGATTGGCAACTGGATGTGGATGTTACACAAATGATCATGTGGGATAATTTGCCCCACATGTCAATTGATTCAGGGGAAGGTCAAGGACTGTGGTTTGGGTTTGTACCAGTGATCCTTGTTGATGGCTCAGTAGTCCTTGAGTCACTGAAGCAATGTAATGTGGCAAGTTGCTGTCTCATTTCGGCAATGGAGGACCATCCAAGCTTCTTATGACTTGCTGCCTACATGTCTCTGGAAAAAGTTGTTCCTGATTTGTCATACGTTGTGTCTTTAAGGACAGCCACTTCTATCTTCCCTACTCCCCTCTTGAACCATGAGTAAAGTACTATCTGTGTTTTCATACCAAGGCCAGGAAAAAAATTGGGCCAGATGAACTATTTTCATTTAGGCTCAAGACAGACTTTACTTATGCATGGCTTTTTATGGGAAGCAGCTGGTAGTTTTGATCTGTTGATGTTGAAAAGTTTGGAAGGGTCAGTAGAATGGATGGAATAAACCAGATTGACTTTTCAAGTTAAAGTGTTTTTTTCTTATCAAAATTTTCCAAGAATGCTGCTGCCCAGGCGTCATCTCAACCCACCAGTGAAGAAATTGAAATCAAGCCACTGAATGTGGAGTACATCATAGTGGATCTCGCCTCGTTGCAATCCACAATGGACTTCATTCAGGAGACCAAGGAGAGGATGCAGTACCTTAATATCTTGGTCTGCAATGCTGGAATTGGCTTTGCCAAACAAGGTAAGGACTCCAGGCATGACCTGTAGATGGTGCTTAAAAGGAAAACTATCGAAAGTTCCCATTTGCTCCACTACTTGACCTGTTCCAAAGGGTTCTTTCGTTGGTTTTCTTTAATAGCATATACAGAGGATAATTACGAGTCTCATTTCCAAGTCAACTACCTGTCACATCTCCTCATTGTGCTGCATCTCATGCCGCTGCTGCAGGCTGGTGCTCCCGACTCCCGCATCGTTCTCCTGTCATCAGCGGCGCATAAAGGTGGGAAACTGGACCTGGACAACATGCAGGGCCGCAAGTCCTACAGTCGGATAGGAGCCTACGGATCCTCCAAGGCCTACATGGTGAAATTAGTTTGTTTCAGAAAGTGAACGCTGAAGTAAAAAATCTAGTCCAGGCTACGCGGGCGTTGTCAGACCATTTTACATGTTACAAAAGTGCTTACATTTGGACCAGTCACTCAGCAAACAATGTGGAGAGGGGGTAGGGTGTGGGCTAGGGTGAGGTTAATCCCATTCAACCAAGGGGTGTTATTTAAAGCATTTGGGAACTGGACACTGTCTCACAAATATGACATCACCCACTTCACCGATAGCGCTGTTAAATGTTATGGTAATTGTTTTTGGTGGGAGGGGGTGCACCTGATAAGGTTTCTTGCAAGTGTCCTCTACAAGTACTGCCAACTACAGCTGTGTCTCACTATATCGCCCTATACATTCCTCATCCTAGTCAGTTTCAGAGAATTTTATTTCTCCATTTGTTGTTCAAAGATCATGGCAGCACACTTTCTGTCTCGAAGACTGGAGGAGACTGGAGTGAGCACTTTCTCTGTCGACCCTGGAATTGTGGACACGGATATTGTGAATAACTACAGTGACTGGAAACTGTTGAGCTTTTTTGGAGGGGCTTCGAAAAAAATGGGTGAGTTCATTTGTTGGTGTATTTGAGAACTCAATTTTAGTCACTGACCCAAGTTTCATGTTAGTTTGTGAATAGATTGAGCAGTGGTAGTGTGTAAATGGATCAAGCAAAGTGTTCCTCTGAAGTTTTTTCAAACTTTCTTATTGAAATGATGGAATGCTTTATGTGTTAAGGCATGATGCGTACTCCGAAAAAGGGGGCTGCAACAAGTGTTGTGGCCTGTGTTGATCCAAGCCTCCGTGGGAAAACTGCAGTGTTCATGAAGAGTTGTCGACCTGCTAACCCTGCTAACTTCTGTCGGTAAGGCTTTGGGAAACCTTGCTTTAGAGTCAAGTAAAGGTGATCACATTATATAGAAAACTGATACTTTATTTCCAGTCAAGGTTTTAAGGAGTCCTCAATTAGCTATAAGTGAGTTTTGAAACAAGGATCCTCTGATGATGATTCCAACTTTTTAGTGGAGGCTTTTACTTAAGGGTCCCGAGTCCCAATTAAACTTGATTCTTACTCAAACTCTAGGATTACAGACCATGCCGAATTATGAACTGAAATTACTAAAGTGACCTTTTCCATTCTAAACAAATGGCTCTTAGATTATAACTCATGGTTCCTTGCTTTGAACCCATGGTTTTTATGAATGGAGACTCGAGGGTTTTGGTTTCTTTTTCAAGGGTCCTTTGATTTCAGACTCAATGGTCCTTGGGTTTAATTTTCTACTTTAGGGATGGCAAAAAACAGGAGGACCTTTGGGGTTACAGTCTTGGATGTCTCAACCAGTTCATCTCTGATGATGTGCTCAAAGAAGCCTTCCCATCAGCGAGGCCTGATCTGCTGACCATTCCCAAGGACACAAGGACAGTCGAAGAGAAGATTGCTGATGATTCAGGGAAGAAAGAAGGGAGTTCAGGTGACAAAGAGATGGGAGACAAATCCAAAGGAGGAGAGGCATCTTTGGAGAGGAAGCAGGATGAGGAGCAACCAGAGATAGAGTCTTCATCTGGAGCTACAGAGGTACCCTCTGAAAAAGTCAAGGCATCGCAGGAACCATATGGGACTAATTTAGAAGAAAAGATACCTGAAGACACACTCAAAGACGAAGACAACGAACCCAAGGCATCCTCCAAACAGGAGCAGACAGAAGAGCAGCCGAAAAGAGAATTACAATCTGCAGCTGCAGAATTACCCACTGAAAGGGTTAAGGCAGAGGAAAAACCCAGCGGGCAGGTTTCAGAGGAAAGGGGCGTGACAGATGATGCAGAAAATAAGTAATTAGCAGCTGAGAACTGCAGCATCTTCAGATAATAAGCAGGTGTAGAACAACCAGAGAGGGAACCTTTAGCTCAGGTAGCTTCTGAAATTGACCAGACATTAGGAGAATCAAATATCAGGGGAGAGGTGCAGAACGCCAGTATGCGGATAGTGTGCCGGACAAAAATGAACACTTTATATGAAAAATGAAATTGGCGAAACACAACAATGATGATTCCACGCAGTATATGGATATTGTGCGAGACAAAAATGCTCATTAATGCGTTTTCATATGTCGAACACACACACACGTCGAGTGCACACATTTTCTATGAGATTCATAGACGAAACACACAGACTTTGTATATAATAACCAGCCTTATTTAACACTCATACATGTAATTCCACACGAAGTATATAGATAGTATGCGGGACAAAAATGCTCATTTACGCGTTTTCATATGTCGACTACACACACTTCGCATGCTGTACATTGTCTATGGGATTGGTGCGACAAACATACTTTGTATATAACCAGCCTTACGGGGACCGTTTGTAAACGAACATAATTCCACACGCAGTATGTGAATAGTGTGCGGGACAAAAATGGTCATTTATGCGTTTTCATATGTCGAATACACACACTTCGCATGCTGTACATTTCTTTACAATTGGCGGAATATACACACTTTGTATATAACCAGCCTTATGGGGACCGTTTGTAGCAATCCTAATACCACACGCAGTATTTGAATAGTGTGCGGGACAAAAATGGTCATTTATGCGTTTTCATATGTCGAATACACACACTTCGCATGCTGTACATTGTCAATGACATTGGGGGAACACACACACTTTGTATATAACCTGCCTTATGGGGACCATTTGTAGCCATCATAATACCACACGCAGTATACAAATAGTGTGCGGGACAAAAATGCTCATTTATGCGTTTCATGTCGACTACACACACACACACACACACACACTACAGAAGTTGTATACCAGCCTTATGTGGACTGTTTGTAACAATCTTAATTCCACGCGCAGTATATGAATTAGTGCATGTGTACGCATACCTGTTAGTTCACAAGTCTCAAGATTACTTTGGACGACTTGACAGGTAAGAAGTTATTGATATTAACTAACTAATTGTCCATATTCTTAAGCCCCTTTAGGTTTTTGTTATTTTGCCTAATGCCTTATATATGATTTGGATCAATGACATCAGTATTTATTACTATAACTTAACTCTGACCGTTAAATAGTTTGATTCATTGTTGATTTTATTCATACATGTCTTGTTTTTTTTCAGATTGGACTTTTCATCAACTCTAGTTAAATGTATATTTTTGTAATTATGTTTTGGATATTATGTAGTCCTATCCTGAATTGCTTCATTTAGAGAATTATTTGGGTTTTTTTTAATGTATTTTGGTGGATTGGAATCTTCTATTGTATTTCTATTTGGAATTAACGCCATTAAAAGAAAAATAAGGCCTACGCACAGTAAATATTTAGCAACATGTCCTTGTCATGTCGCATTTTTTTGGTTGCCATATTTTCTAAAGTAAACACAAAAAACCCCAAAGTGTGCATTCGTTTTACGGCAAGAGCCAGCTACGGATTATTCCATGACGTGACATTCAAAATCTGCCGAAAACTAGATGTTGATTTTTTTGTTTTAAAGGTGAAAACGGCTGAAACTGCGACATTTAAAATAACAAAACTTGTTATACTAGCAGTTGGCTTAAAACGCGACATTTTAATTTAAGCATAAAATAACCCTTTTTTTAGCGGCCGCATGGTCTACTAAAACAGCAGATGCGCACTCACTCCAGCTGGACATGGGCCATGCGGATCATCGGAGCCGGCATCTTGAGAGGTCGCGCAATCCTTATAATTCTAGTTCTGCCCATGTGCCTTTTACGCTTTTCCTTTGCGGTATCGCTTTGTCAGTATATAGTCTCAAATATTGTGATGAGCCTTTCTGACTGTACTTACTACTTCCATGGTAACACTAGTTGTCTCTGTACGTCTGTTGAATTCTGACGGATGGCCGATGATCGATTCCTGCGCTGCCTGATAAAAGCTGTTTCTTCAGCTGGTCTTTAGCACCGAGACCGAGGACCACCACGGTTTCGGTGTCACATGAAAATCCGACTCCTATGCAAATCGGACCCCTATTTCCCTATTATTGGTTGATCCCTCGCACGTGACAGTCACTCGCCCGAAACGATCTTAAAAATAGCATAGTATCGTACTCACGCGTGCGCAATACTACAATGAGTCCACATTTCATGGAGTCGGATATTCACGCTACACCGGTTCCCAACTAGCAGCTCACTGAATGGACCGATCCAGCAAGCACCGCCCGGCCCCATGATATTCTGAACAATCACAGCCGTGATTTATGTCCGACATGCGTGCACAAAAGTCCGACATGCGTGCACGCGCGTATGATGCGCGCGGCAGGAAAATGCAGCGTGGCATTATGAGGAGCGCGTGTTAATTTGCCCACGTGCGCAGTGGGAGGGGCTTACTGGATCGGTCCATTGACCTATCGCAGTTTGCGAGTTAGCTACGCCCCTTACCCCTATGGATTACACAACTTTTTGTTTGTCTCAGATTTTGCGCGTTCCGCGTCCATTTGTATATCATGTAATTGGACAATATTCATAAGCTGCGTTGACGCGATTCTAACGCGATTCTACAGCAATTGGTCAATTATGAAGAGAACGTGTCCTCCATCCTCGCAGCCAAGCATTGGTTGGAGCAGAATGGACTCTTTGCTGGGCAGCATACAGACTCATTTTGAGACGGCCCTGCATGCAGCTCTTGATGCAAATTATGAAGTCTTTAGCTTAGGCCAAAAAAAAAAGTCTCCGGTTTCTGGTATGGAGCTTGCCCCAAAAGTGGTTCGGCGACGCGGCTTTTTTTTTTTTTTTACCTGTGTTTTTTGGTTTTTTGGGCTTCAAATGTCGGCTGATGACTGCAAATGGTGCCCGACTAAACTTAGTGCAAATATATGGGAGTCCAGAGAGGCCACATAAAGCTTATTCTCGATCATAACCCCATCTAAAAACACGTTAAAATTGTGCAGCAGCAGAATTCCAGTCGAACCAGTGAGTTTGGCGGTTTTGAGACATCATCTTTTATTGAAAAAAAACCTTTTTCATTTTGCCGACGCGCATGGCTACGGCGACGCGCGCGCATACCAGAAACCGGAGACTTTTTTTTTTGGCCTTAGGCAGCATTGGTGGACTTTTTCAAAAGCCCCAACTAGGCCTATAATCTCGGACTAGGCTCTCCCCCTAAGCGCAAGCATACATGCAGCAGAGAGCATTGAAACCAACACCTCGCTACACCAGTGCAGGGCCTAGCTAGGGGTCGATCAAGATTTGACTCAAATTTAAAGGGAGGAGGTTTTAGCTGTCGGGGGACGTGGACGGGGGTAAATAGGAATAATGTGCTACTGATAATCCTCGCAGCACGAATTGTGTGTTAGCTTTTCTTTTTAAGCGACCGGGCTGACATTCAGAACTGACATTGGCGCCCGCGACGGACGTAATTTGACGGCCCATATGACGGACCCCTGGCCGCCCAGGCTGTGTAACACTACAATTGTTGAAACACTGAAGTGGCCTTGCACAGGTCACACCAAACTTCACCCATTTTGGTTGTGTAGGGCCTCACACGATATCCTTGAGGATCATCAAAAACTAGCCAATTTCCCGACACTGCATAATCTACACGAAGCTCCATATAGCATTTACTGTTGATATGAATAGAGTTAATTCTATAGTGAATGTAAAACACACAATGTAAAATTGTTGGCTACGGTTCAGGTGAACTTTGTATTGCATGCAGCGAGTCTGGAAATAGAGCGCCACGCCGCAATTGCTAGTGCACCTGTGCACGTCCATTTTTTAGTGACTTCCTCGGGCCAAGTGACCTGCGTGAGTGCAGTCATAATTCCCAGCCTCAAGTCCTCAACCACGCCCATATCTGGATGGTGTTCATGGTGAGTGGGTTTACCTGTCATTGGTTAGGAATTATAAGATATAGATGTCGAGACAGGGGTTGGAAAATTCATGGATGTAATTGCTTTCAATGAGGTTGCAGTTTTCTGTAGAGCCTCACAGATATAGTGCACTCCGCGTGGATATTTACATCGGACCTTGTTATTGGTAATTGTCACAGAGCTGTTCTTTATTATGCAGCTCAATGGTAATTGTATATCAAATACATGGTGTAGGTATTGGGGAACACTGAGGTATTGGGGAACGCGGGTAGACCCCGTGTATGGCACATTTAAATTGACTAATTGGGTCTATGGTGTGAGGGCAGTTAAGGGGGGGGGGGGGGGTTACTGCATGGAAGGAACACAACAATGTGAATTGTGTCAAACAATATAAAGCTAGGCCCTATATTATTTATTGCCTTTTTTAAGGGGGGGGGGTGCCCTGCTTATGTCCATATATAGTTGCACCACAGACAATTTTGTGGGATAAACTGCCAGTGCCTAACTTATTAGTTGAGTACAGTGCACCACGAAGTGATGAATATGATAGTTTTGTCCCACTCAAGTGACAGATTGTCGAGCTATGACGGGTCAGTACCTTTTTTTTGGTCTAGAGCATATTATTTTCTTTGCTTCCTTGTTGGCTTGACAGGTTTAGGTTGCACTGAAAGGTTGAAGATGGGGAATAAAATAGAACATCCGTCTGTGGAGCTTCCCCCGGAGAAGCTGGTGATGGTCACAGGTGGAAACACTGGTAAAAAATGTTGGTCTTTTCACTAAATCCCTTGCAAATTTGACTCTTTCTTTTGGGGTTTAACGTCCAGAATCCTGCATAATGCACCAGAATCTTACACAATTCACCAGATTCCTACAGACCTCTATTTCATCAGGCTCCGTGAAATGCACCAGTTGGTTTCAAACTGATACTGAGTTGTTTTTGTAGTCTGAAGGAAGAAACAATCAGATTGTTTGTCCTTTTTGCACTATTTTCTTTCAAAAATACCTCAATTCTTTTGTAATGAAGGAAGTTTGATCTCCTTTGATGCAGGGATTGGATATGAAACAGCAAAGTCCATAGCTGAGATGGGAGCAAGAGTGTGCATCACGTGTCGCTCAGAGGACAAAGCTAAAGCGGTGAGTGCACGGTTGTTTCAGGGAGTAAATCTGACTCAGTGAATTTGTGGTCCAATAACCAAAAATGGAACTGTTAGGAGCTCACTTTTGAAATTTAATATGGTAAAGGTGGTTACTTTTTGGTAAAATTTAGACCGAATCTCATATAGAGCTTAGCAAAAATCAACTTATGACCTGTTTCATTTAGCAAATCCTTTCTGTGCTTAACAAATATGTTAGCTGTGTAAAAATGCTCTGAAAAGCTTTGCCTCACACAGTATGCCAGGTTGTATCCTTTCATATACAGACAGAAGTGATTGAAGCAAGGTATCTGGCTCAGGGACACAAAAAAACGAATAAGGCTCACAAAGCTTAGCTTAACTTATTACTCAGCAACAAGCAGCTCAGATCATATATCCACAATAAAAAAAAATTCGCATGACAACTTTGCTTGAAAAATAAAACTTACTTTTGCATGCAAAATGTCTTATGCGCATTAAAGGAAATGTACATCATTGGCTTTTGCTGTAATTTTCAGAACCGAACTATTTTGGGGGTTAGTATAATAGATCAAATATTGTTACACTGACATGTTTGAAGTTTTGCGTTCGAAAATGCTGGAAAAACCAAGAAAAACAAAAATGTTCAAGTAGTCTAGTTCCCCGACTCCACTAAAGATGAAATGGATCAAAAATGCCGGAAAATGTTCAGGTAAGGGAACCAGTCTAGCTGGCCTGCATCCATTCATGAACATAGAACCAATAGCAAACAAAATTTGGACTGAAAAAAAAACAGAGGTAAATATGGAGCAGTAGTTTGAAAGAAAGTTACGTTTTTACAACGGTGGTCGGCCGACCACCGTTGGAAATGTATACAAAAGTACCATTATTCTTGAAAATGACTTCACACCAGGTGCCATAATTTTACAGGATGCTTTAGACTGTCATTTACCAACATCCTAGTAAGGTATTTCGTAACAATTCGGTAGTTTTATTTTTCGATGTTTGCAGATGTTGTATTTTCCTTTAATGTGGCCCCAGGTATTGGTTTTATTTGACACCAAAATAGGATTATGTTGGTCTTTTACATGTTTTAGGCTATAGAACGGATGCAGGAAGAACATAAGAACCAAATGCAGAAGAGAAGTCATGCAGAGGTAAATGGAACCTTTCTTGAATTGCAACAACGTGTCTGACTTGGATGATCAAAACTGCTTCACTTGAAGTCCTAGTGGGGGCTTTTTCGAAGTGAATTTTGGGTCACGAAACTTAGGTGCCTTTTTTTGACAGATTTGTGTATAGGAAGCATTGCCTATTGGCCAGGGCCCTGTGACACTAGCTTGCACCTTAACTTCCCAAAAGCGTCCTTCTTGGAGCTGCTGGAGGTTTGATGGGAGTGGTATGCTCTCTAAAGGGACTAGTTTACCTGATTGTTGGATTGGCAACTGGATGTGGATGTTACACAAATGATCATGTGGGATAATTTGCCCCACATGTCAATTGATTCAGGGGAAGATCAAGGACTGTGGTTTGGGTTTGTACCAGTGATCCTTGTTGATGGCTCATTAGTCCTTGAGTCACTGAAGCAATGTAATGTGGCAAGTTTGCTGTCTCATTTCGGCAATGGAGGACCATCCAAGCTTCTTATGACTTGCTGCCTACATGTCTCTGGAAAAAGTTGTTCCTGATTTGTCATACGTTGTGTCTTTAAGGACAGCCACTTCTATCTTCCCTACTCCCCTCTTGAACCATGAGTAAAGTACCATTTGTGTTTTCATACCCAAGCTAGGGAAAAAAATGGGCCAGATGAACTTTGTTCATTTAGGCTCAAGACAGACTTTACTTATGCATGGCTTTTTATGGGAAGCAGCTGGTAGTTTTGATCTGTTGACGTTGAAAAGTTTGGAAGGGTCAGTACAATGGATGGAATAAACAAGATTGACTTTTCAAGTTAAAATGTTTTTTTCTTATTAAAATTTTCCAAGAATGCTGCTGCCCAGGCGTCATCTCAACCCACCAGTGAAGAGATCAAGCCACTGAATGTGGAGTACATCAAAGTGGATCTCGCCTCGTTGCAATCCACCATGGACTTCATTCAGGAGACCAAGGAGAGGATGCAGTACCTTAATGTCTTGGTCTGCAATGCTGGAATTGGCTTTGCCAAACAAGGTAAGGACTCCAGGCATGACCTGTAGATGGTGCTTAAAAGGAAAACTATCGAAAGTTCCAATTTGCTCCACTACTTGACCTGTTCCAAAGGGTCCTTTCGTTGGTTTTCTTGAATAGCATATACAGAGGATAATTACGAGTCTCACTTCCAAGTCAACTACCTGTCACATCTCCTCATTGTGCTGCATCTCATGCCGCTGCTGCAGACTGGTGCTCCCGACTCCCGCATCGTTCTCCTGTCATCAGCGGCGCATAAAGGTGGGAAACTGGACCTGGACAACATGCAGGGCCGCAAGTCCTACAGTCGGATAGGAGCCTACGGATCCTCCAAGGCCTACATGGTGAAATTAGTTTGTTTCAGAAAGTGAATGCTGAAGTAAAAAGCTAGTCCAGGCTACGCGGGCGTTGTCAGACCATTTTACATGTTACAAAAATGCTTACATTTGGACCAGTCACTCAGCAAACAATGTGGAGAGGGGGTAGGGTGTGGGCTAGGGTGAGGTTAATCCCATTCAACCAAGGGGTGTTATTTAAAGCATTTGGAACTGGACACTGTCTCACAAATATGACATCACCCACTTCACCGATAGCGCTGTTAAATGTTATGGTAATTGTTTTTGGTGGGAGGGGGTGCACCTGATAAGGTTTCTTGCAAGTGTCCTCTACAAGTACTGCCAACTACAGCTGTGTCTCACTATATCGCCCTATACATTCCTCATCCTAGTCAGTTTCAGAGAATTTTATTTCTCCATTTGTTGTTCAAAGATCATGGCAGCACACTTTCTGTCTCGAAGACTGGAGGAGACTGGAGTGAGCACTTTCTCTGTCGACCCTGGAATTGTGGACACGGATATTGTGAATAACTACAGTGACTGGAAACTGTTGAGCTTTTTTGGAGGGGCTTCGAAAAAAATGGGTGAGTTCATTTGTTGGTGTATTTGAGAACTCAATTTTAGTCACTGACCCAAGTTTCATGTTAGTTTGTGAATAGATTGAGCAGTGGTAGTGTGTAAATGGATCAAGCAAAGTGTTCCTCTTAAGTTTTTTCAAACTTTCTTATTGAAATGATGGAATGCTTTATGTGTTTAGGTATGATGCGTACTCCGAAAAAGGGGGCTGCAACAAGTGTTGTGGCCTGTGTTGATCCAAGCCTCCGTGGGAAAACTGCAGTGTTCATGAAGAGTTGTCGACCTGCTAACCCTGCTAACTTCTGTCGGTAAGGCTTTGGGAAACCTTGCTTTAGAGTCAAGTAAAGGTGATCACATTATATAGAAAACTGATACTTTATTTCCAGTCAAGGTTTTAAGGAGTCCTCAATTAGCTATAAGTGAGTTTTGAAACAAGGATCCTCTGATGATGATTCCAACTTTTTAGTGGAGGCTTTTACTTAAGGGTTCCGAGTCCCAATTAAACTTGATTCTTACTCAAACTCTAGGATTACAGACCATGCCGAATTAAGAACTGAAATTACTACAGTGACCTTTTCCATTCTAAACAAATGGCTCTTAGATTATAACTCATGGTTCCTTGCTTTGAACCCATGGTTTTTATGAATGGAGACTCGAGGGTTTTGGTTTCTTTTTCAAGGGTCCTTTGATTTCAGACTCAAGGGTCCTTGGGTTTAATTTTCTACTTTAGGGATGGCAAAAAACAGGAGGACCTTTGGGGTTACAGTCTTGGATGTCTCAACCAGTTCATCTCTGATGATGTGCTCAAAGAAGCCTTCCCATCAGCGAGGCCTGAACTGCTGACCATTCCCAAGGACACAAGGACAGTCGAAGAGAAGATTGCTGATGATTCAGGGAAAAAAGAAGGGAGTTCAGGTGACAAAGAGATGGGAGACAAATCCAAAGGAGGAGAGGCATCTTTGGAGAGGAAGCAGGATGAGGAGCAACCAGAGATAGAGTCTTCATCTGGAGCTACAGAGGTACCCTCTGAAAAAGTCAAGGCATCGCAGGAACCATATGGGGCTAATTTAGAAGAAAAGATACCTGAAGACACACTCAAAGATGAAGACAACGAACCCAAGGCATCCTCCAAATAGGAGCAGACAGAAGAGCAGCCGAAAAGAGAATTACCATCTTCCGCTGCAGAATTACCCACTGAAAGGGTTAAGGCAGAGGAAAAGCCCAGCGGGCAGGTTTCAGAGGAAAGGGGCGTGACAGATGATGCAGAAAATAAGTAATTAGCAGCTGAGAACTGCAGCATCTTCAGATAATAAGCAGGAGTAAAACAACCAGAGAGGGAACCTTTAGCTCAGGTAGCTTCTGAAATTGACCAGACATTAGGAGAATCAAATATCAGGGGAGAGGTGCAGAACGCCAGTATGCGGATAGTGTGCCGGACAAAAATGAACACTTTATATGAAAAATGAAATTGGCGAAACACAACAATGATGATTCCACGCAGTATATGGATATTGTGCGAGACAAAAATGCTCATTAATGCGTTTTCATATGTCGAACACACACACACGTCGAGTGCACACATTTTCTATGAGATTCATAGACGAAACACACAGACTTTGTATATAATAACCAGCCTTATTTAACACTCATACATGTAATTCCACACGAAGTATATAGATAGTATGCGGGACAAAAATGCTCATTTACGCGTTTTCATATGTCGACTACACACACTTCGCATGCTGTACATTGTCTATGGGATTGGTGCGACAAACATACTTTGTATATAACCAGCCTTACGGGGACCGTTTGTAAACGAACATAATTCCACACGCAGTATGTGAATAGTGTGCGGGACAAAAATGGTCATTTATGCGTTTTCGTATGTCGAATACACACACTTCGCATGCTGTACATTTCTTTACAATTGGCGGAATATACACACTTTGTATATAACCAGCCTTATGGGGACCGTTTGTAGCAATCCTAATACCACACGCAGTATTTGAATAGTGTGCGGGACAAAAATGGTCATTTATGCGTTTTCATATGTCGAATACACACACTTCGCATGCTGTACATTGTCAATGACATTGGGGGAACACACACACTTTGTATATAACCTGCCTTATGGGGACCGTTTGTAACAATCATAATTCCACACGCAGTATACGAATAGTGTGTGGGACAAAAATGGTCATTTATGCGTTTTCATATTTTGTCAACTACAGACACACTACACAAGTTGTATACCAGCCTTATGGAGACCGTTTGTAACAATTATAATTCCACGCGCAGTATATTTAGTGCATGTGTGTACGCATACTTGTTAGTTCACAAGTCTCAAGATTACTTTAGACGACTTGACAGGTAAGACGTTATTGATATTGTCTAAATAATTGTCCGTATTCTTAAGCCCCTTTAGGTTCTTGTTATTTAGCCTAATGCCTTAACTCATATGATTTTGATCAATGACATTTTTATCTATTAGTTAACTTAACTCCGACCATTAAACAGTTTGATTCATTGATGATTTTAGTCTAGTCATATATGTCTTGTATTTTCAGATTGGACTTTCATCACTAGTTCAATGTATATTTTGGCAATTATGTTTTGGATACATGCAGTCCTGATCCTATCCTGAATTGCTTCATTTTGATAATATTTTTTTTTTATGTACTTTGGTGGATTGGAATTTTCTATTGGATTTTTATGTGGGAATTATTATCTTAATTATGTCTTCATGATTTTCTTCCTAGGATGCAGTAACGCCATTAAAGGAACAACAATGCCTACGCACAGTATGTTAGCAACATGTCCTTGTCATGTCGCATTTTTGTGGTTGCCATATTATCTAAAGTAAACACAAAAATACCCCAAAGTGTTCATTCGTTCTATGACAAGAGCTAGCTAAGGATTATTCCATGACACTCAAAATCTCCCGAAAACCAGATGTTGAATGTTATGTTTTAAAGTTGAAAAAGGCTAAACATGCGACATTTAAAATAACGAAACTTTTTATACTAGCGGTGGGCCAAAAAACCCCGCGACATTTCAAAAATATAATTTAAGAATAAAAGAAACTTTTTTAGCGGCCGCATGGTCTACTAAAACCATCAGATACGCATTCACTCTAGATGGACATTGGGCATGCGAATCCTAGGAGCCGGGATCTTGAGAGGTCGCCCAATCCTTATAATTCCGCCCTTTACGCTTTTCCTTTGCGGTATCGCTTTGTATAGTCTCAAATATTGTGATAGCCTTTCTGATTGTTTCATACTTCCATGGTAACAACAGTTGTCTCTGTCCGTTGCCTCTTCTTGAGATGGCCGATAATCGATTCCTGCGCTGCCTGATAAAAGCTGTTTCCTCAGCTGGTCTGTGAAGCACCGTTCAGACCGAGGACCGCCACGGTCCCGGTTCCCAACTAGCAGCTCACTGAAATATGAAGAGATTGTGTCCTCCATCCGTGCTAAATGGCCGGCCAAGTGCATTAAGTTGTAGCAGAATGGACTCTTGCTGGTACTAACTAATTTTTGAGACGGCACTGCCTCTTGATGCAAATTATGAAGTCTTAAAGGCAGCATCGGTGGCCTTTTCAAAAGCCTCAAGTAGGCCTATATTCTCGCGGCGGACCTGGCTCTCTGCCTAAGCATACCGCAGACAGCATTGAAACCAACACCTCGCTACACCTGTGCAGGGCTTTAGCTAGGGGTCGATCAAGCTTTGGCTCAAATTTAAAGGGAAGGGGGTTTTAGCTGTCGGGGACGGGGGTATACTGAAATAGGCATAATGTGCTACTGTCGTATAATCCTCGCAGCACGTTTTGTGTTTTAGCGGTTTTTTTTTTTTTTAAAGCGACTGGACTTGATCAAGTACACGACCAAATTTGTACAACGACACGGTTCTGCTCCTAGCTGACATTCGGAACTGACGATTGGCGCCCGCGACGGACGAAAATTGACGGCCCATGACGAACCCCTGGCCCAGGCTGTGTAACACTACAGGGGTGAGTAAAAAAAAAAACGAAACCCAAATGTCAGGACTATTGTTTTAGTGAAGTCTTGCATGTTTAGCACTTTCAATTTCTAAGATATGAAAGCCCAATTAATATTAAGTTTTCTTTTAGTACAAGAATCATTCAAATCACTTTAAGTACTTTTCAAGTTATTATTACGGAATCAACCACCGTTTTAAAGTCCTGTCCACGGATCACAAGAAGAAGGTAAGTACGGAAGACGGATAGTGCCACTCAATTAGTGTGAATAAATATTTTTTGGTGCGTGTGTCTTCCGTAGGTTAAGTGTTCTTTCATCAAAACGAAAGCAATTCACATTGTTTTCGTAGTTGCTGAAAGAACGCACACCCTTTAAAATTCCATAACTTGAAAAGTCCATGACTATGAGTGATTGAATGATTCTTGTATTGAAAGAAAACTTATGAATTGGGCTTTTCATATCCTAGATTTAGAAAGTGCTTACACATGCAGAACTTCACTAAAACAATAGTCCCGACATTTGGGTTTCGCTTTTTTTTTTACTCACCCTGTAGAGGTCATACAACACTTCACGCATTTTTGGTTGTGTAAGGCCTCAAACGATATCCTTGAGGATTATCAAAAACTAGCCAATTTCCTTATTTCCAGACAATCATCGTACACGAAGCCGGATCATGGAGGTCAGGTAGGAATAGAGTTTATTCTATAGTGAATGTAAAACACAATGCAAAATTGTTGGCTACGCCGGTTCAAGTGAACTTTGCAAGTGCAACGCGAGTCTGGAAATAGAGCGCCGCGCCGAAATTGCTAAACTAGCTAGTGCATTTGGTGCACGTCCATTTTCTACCTGGCCAAGTGACGTGCGTGAGTTTGATCATAATTCCCAGCCTCTAGTCCACAACCATGCCCATCTGGATGGTGTTTGTGTTCATGGTGAGTGAGTTTAGCTGTCGGTGTCATGCCTTAAATTGGTCAGGAATTTAGATAAAGATTTCGAGACGGGTTGGAAAATTCATGAATGTAAATTGTTTTCAATGTGGGTTGCAGTTTTCTGTACATGTACATGTACATGTATATAGACTACCACAGAGATAGTGCACTCCACGTTGATTTTTACATTGGACCTCCTTGTTATTGGTAATTGTGTATCAAATACATGGTGTAGTAGGTATTGGGGAACAGGTATTGGGGAACGCCGGTAGACCCCGTGTATGGCACATTTAAATTGACTTGGGTCCATGATGTGAGGACAATTAAGGGGGGGGGGGGGGTTACTGCATGGAAGGAACAACAATGTGAATTGTTACAAACAATATAAAGCTAGGCCCTATTGTTTATTGCCTTTTTTTAAGTGGGGGGGGGGGAAGGTTGCCTTTTTTTTGGGGGGGGGGGCCCTTGCTCATCATCCACATAGTTGCACCACCGAAATTGTGTGGGATAAACTGCCAGGGCCCAACTTATTATTTGAGTACAGTGCACCACGAAGCCGGTGATGAATATGATAGTTTTGTCCCACTTAAGTGACAGATTGTCGAGCTATGACAGGGGTAAGTACCTAATTTTTGATCTAGAACAGATTACATTCTTTGCTTCCTTTTTGGCCTGACAGGTTTAGGTTGCACTGAAAGGTTGAAGATGGGGAATACAATAGAACATCCGTCTGTGGAGCTTCCCCCGGAGAAGCTGGTGATGGTCACAGGTGGAAACACTGGTAACAAAATGTTGGTCTTCTCACTAAATCCCTTGCAAATTCGACTCTTTCTTTTGGGGTTTAACTTCCAGAATCCTGCATAATCCACCGGAATCTTACACAATTCACCAGAATCCTACAGACCTTTATTTCCTCAAGCTCCGTGAAATGCACCAGTTGGTTTCAAACTGATACTGTAGTTGTTATTGTACTCTGAAGGAAGAAACAATCAGATTGTTTGTCCTTGCACAATTTTCTTTCTAAACTACCTGAATTCTTTTGTAATGAAGAAAGTTTGATTTCTTTTGATGCAGGGATTGGATATGAAACAGCAAAGTCCATAGCTGAGATGGGAGCAAGAGTTTGCATCGCGTGTCGCTCAGAGGACAAAGCTAAAGCGGTGAGTGTTGTTTTAGGGAGTGAATCCGACTCGGTGAATTTGTGGTCCAATAACCAAAAATGGAACTGTTAGGAGCTCACTTTTGAAATTGAATATGGTAAAGATGGTTACTTTTTGGTAAAGTTTAGACTGAATCTCATAGAGCTTAGCAAAAACTTATGACATGTTTCAGTTAGCAAATACTTTATGTGCTTAACAAATACGTTAGCATTGTAAAATCCTCCAAAAGCTCTGCCTCACAAAGTATGCCAGGTTGTATTCCTTCATATACAGACAGAAGTGATTGAAGCAAGGTATCTGGCTCAGGGACACAAAAAACGAATAAGGCTCACTAAGCTAAGCTTATCTACTTACTCAGCAACAAGCAGCTCAGATCATATATCAACAATAAAAAAAAAATCGCATGACAAGTTTGGGATTTTGTTGGTCTTTTACATGTTTTAGGCTATAGAACGGATGCAGGAAGAACATAAGAACGAAATGCAGAAGAGAAGTCCTGCAGAGGTAAATGGAACCTTTCTTGAATTGCAACAACTTGTCTCACTTGGATGATCAAAACTGCTTCACTGGAAGTCCTAGTGGGGGCTTTTTCGAAGTGAATTTTTGGTCACAAAACTTAGGTGCCTTTTTTTGACAGATTTGTGTAGGGGAAGCATTGCCTATTGGCCAGGGCCCTGTGACACTAGCTTGCACCTTAACTTCCTAAAAGCGTCCCGTTTTTGGAGCTGCTGGAGGCTTGAAGGGAGTGGTATGCTGTCTAAAGGGACTTGTTTACCTGATTGTTGGATTGGCAACTGGATTTGGATGTTACACAAATGATCATGTGGGATAATTTGCCCCACATGTCAAGCGATTCAGGGGAAGATCAGGGACTGTTGTCTGTTGTGACCCCGTCTAGCTCTAGGTGGTTTGGGTTTGTACCAGTGATCCTTGTTGATGGCTCATTAGTCCTTGAGTCACTGAAGCAATGTAATGTGGCAAGTTTGCTGTCTCATTTCGGCAATGGAGGACCATCCAAGCTTCTTATGACTTGCTGCCTACATGTCTCTGGAAAAACTGAGTTGTCCCTGATTTTTCATATGTTGTATCTATTAGGACAGCCACTTCTTCCCTTTTCCCCTCTTGAACCATGAGTAAAGTATATTATTGGTGTTTTCATACCAAAGCCAGGGAAAAAATTGGGCCAGATGAACTATGTTCATTTAGGCTCAAGACAGACTAGTTTAATGCATGACTTTTTATGGGAAGCAGCTGGTAGTTTTGATCTGTTGATGTTGAAAAGTTTGGAAGGGTCAGTACAATGGATGGAATAAACCAGATTGAATTTTCCAGTTAAAATATTTTTTTTTCTTATCAAAAATTTTCCAAGAATGCTGCTGCCCAGGCGTCATCCCAACCCACTAGTGAAGAAATTGAAATCAAGCCACTGAATGTGGAGTACATCAAAGTGGATCTCGCCTCGTTGCAATCCACCATGGACTTCATTCAGAAGACCAAGGAGAGGATGCAGTACCTTAATATCTTGGTCTGCAATGCTGGCATTGCCTTTGTCAAACAAGGTAAGGACTCCGGCATCATGACCTATACATGGCGCTTGAAAGGACTGCTATCGAAAGTCTCAATTTGCTCCACTAGTTGTCGTGTTCAAAAGGGTTCTTTCGTTGGATTTCTTTCATAGAATACACAGAGGATAAATACGAGTCTCAATTCCAAGTCAACTACCTGTCACAGCTCCTCATTGTGCTGCATCTCATGCCGCTGCTGCGGGCTGGTGCCCCCGACTCCCGCATTGTTCTCCTGTCATCAGAGGCGCATAAAGGTGGGAAACTGGACCTGGACAACATGCAGGGCCGCAAATCCTTCAGTCGGCTTACAGCCTACGCCTCATCCAAGGCCTACATGGTGAGATTCTTTTAATTCAGGAATTGAATGAAGTCGGTGATCTAGTCCAGTCAACACATGACGTCGCCGAGTCCCTATATAAGGGTTAATGACTCGACTCGACTCGAGTCACTGCGAGCAAATGACTCGACTCGACTCGAGTCCCTCATTAGAAGGCTCGACTCGACTCAAGCGAAGGCTAATAAGACTCGAGTCCCAAAAATAAAGGCGCAACTTTGCGAAAAGTATTTGCAGTGACTTACGGTGCAAAATTTGTGCTCACTTTACTTTGCGAATAGCAGTCATGTACAAGTATACAACGTGTCACAGACTCCCACCTCATGGTTCTAGGACGCACAAAATACTATCCAGGAACCACATTTTTAAACACATTTTCTAATTCGCTGTTTCATCATTGGTTTTGGGTGATTTCTTATAAAGCTCTTGGATTCGAACGCTGGCTAAACTTATAGCCTCCTTTTATAAATTTGGTATATATAGTGTTCAAATAATTGTGACTCGAATTGACTCGAGCTAAATATTTGACTCGACTCGACCTTTTGACCTAATGACTCGACTCGACTCGAGTCACTTCTTTAAAATGACTTGATTCGACTTGAGTCACAAAAATCAGTGACTCGTTACAACTCTGCAGGTTGCAGGCAAGTGTCCTTGACAAGTTAGCGCTATTTGGAGAGTTGAGGGAGATTTTTGGCAGATTTATGCGCGTGATGCAGTACACACATTCAGTGTGTCCCATGGGGCTCACAAAAAATGGTCACAAAATGCAATCTCTTGATCATGCATTAAGTCTGTATTGGGCTGCTCGTTCCTCATCCAAAGTCGGCAGAGAATTTTATTTCTGGATTTGTTATATCCTGAAAAGGTCATGGCAGCACACTTTCTTGCTCGGAGACTGGAAGGGACCGAAGTGAGCACTTTCTCTATTGATCCTGGACTTGTGGACACGAATATTATGAATAACTTCAGTGATTTGAAACTGATGAGCTTTTTCGTTGGAGCTTATAACAAATTTGGTGAGTACACTTCTTGGTGCATTTGAACATTTAATAGTATCATTGCCTGGCCGTGCATAAACTTTTTATAGGTCATTTGACATGTATTTGGCAATTATCCACTGATCTTCATACTGTACTGTTTCAATTTCAGGTCCAATTAGTAGAGACTTTCATAATTATAACAAGGGTGCAAAGACTAAAATTTAACTTTGTAAGTTGCATTTCAAACTTTCTGAAGATTGAAGTGATTGAATGCTTTGTGTTTGCCCAAAGGTATGATGCGTACTCCGAAACAGGGGGCTGCTACAAGTGTCGTGGCCTGTGTTGATCCAAGCCTTCGTGGGAAAACTGCAGTGTTCATGAAGAATTGTCGACCTGCTAACCCTGCAACCTTCTGTTGGTAAGGCTTTGAGAAAATGCACACTTAACTGATCACACACATTTAGAAAATTGGAAAAACTTAGATGTTTTTTAGAAAAAAAATTCAGAAGAAATGTGAAAATATCAAGTTCGATTCTTAAGTAGTTCTAAATTTGCTGCATGTGAATTTAGACGCTGGGGTCCTGTGATGATTCTGACTCGAGGCTCCCTTTATTTGTTTTTTATCGAACTTGATTTTTATTATGTCCATTGATTCAATGATCTTTAAATTTCTGAAGGGCCAGCCCTCTGACCGGGTCCTATGGTGAGGTTTTGACTTTTACTGAAGAGACCTTTGATTTCCAGCTAATGAATCATATTTTAATAAGGGTCCTTTGATTTTAGACTCAAGGGTCCTTGGGTTTAATTTTCTACTTTAGGGATGGCAAAAAACAGGAGGACCTTTGGGATTACAGTCTTGGATGTCTCAACCAGTTCATCTCTGATGGTGTGCTCAAAGAAGCCTTCCCATCAGCGAGGCCTGATCTGCTGACCATTCCCAAGGACACGAGGACAGTCGAAGAGAAGATTGCTGATGATTCAGGGAAGAAAGAAGGGAGTTCAGGTGACAAAGAGATGGGAGACAAATCCAAAGGAGGAAAGGCATCTTTAGAGAGAAAGCAGGATGAGGAGCAACCAGAGATAGAGTCTTCATCTGGAGCTACAGAGGTACCCTCTAAAAAAGTCAAGGCATCGCAGGAACCATATGGGGCTAATTTAGAAGAAAAGATACCTGAAGACACACTCAAAGATGAAGACAACGAACCCAAGGCATCCTCCAAACAGGAGCAGACAGAAGAGCAGCCGAAAAGAGAATTACCATCTGCAGCTGCAGAATTACCCACTGAAAGGGTTAAGGCAGAGGAAAAACCCAGTGGGCAGGTTTCAGAGGAAAGGGGCGTGACAGATAATGCAGAAAATAAGTAATTAGCAGCTGAGAACTGCAGCATCTTCAGATAATAAGCAGGTGTAGAACAACCAGAGAGGGAACCTTCAGCTCAGGCAGCTCCTGAAATTGACCAGACATCAGGAGAACATAAGGCAGATAATGGGGAAATCTGCAGGAGATGAGGTGCAGAAGTTCAAGAAGGTGTACCGATCACAGTTGGCTCCTAGCTGACAGGTGCTCAGATCATTGAAGCTAATAAAAACATTTACAAGAGGCCAAACTTGGCCAAAAATTATCAAAGTGGACTCCATTAAAGAGATTTGTGATGAACTGAAAATTTGGTGAAATCTAAATAATATTCAAATTCACAAGGTTTAGGTGTATATTAAAGACCACAAGGTATCGAAGAAAGATTAAACCTTGGCAGAAACTGCCAGAGAGACTATTTGGTCATAGTACGTGATGATATCTAGACTTGTAGATAGTCCAGGCAAAATACTTAATTTTGAAGTGAACCTCACACAAATTGCAACAGATTTTATTTTTCATCACATTGCACTTATGTAAGGTCCCTAGAATGGTGTAGTAACAGTCTTAAAAATCCAAGTGGTGGAAATATGCCTAATTTGCATAAATCGTTAATACCTCTCCGGTAATATATTTGTTCCCATATTTGGGTATATAAATATATATTTTTTTTTAAGTTTATTTTAGTGATTGTACTTACACATCCTTACTTCAATAACACAAAATTCACAACAACAAAAGATTAGTGTTGCGTACAATAATTGTGTCAATGTCAGAATGTTTTTTTACCAATAATTTTGGGAATTTCCTTGAACTTGTTCAAGTCCCAACGTTAGGCATCCCATCGCCTTCTTTTCAGCCCCGAATTTACGGACACCTTGTTTTCCCTGGTTTTTTTTGTTTGCTGGGCTAAATATCACAATGTTATCATTGTTCACATGATTTTCAATAAAGTTTTAGTAGGGGAACTGTGCCAGTAAGCAACTTGGTGAATTTGAAGCTCATCGGTGTTGAGGTTTGGCAAGACTACTTGATGATATCTGGAGATGATGTCTCTAGAAAAAAATCCTGGCGACGCCCATACTTGTTAGTTCACAATTCTCAAGATACATTGTATTTACTTCGGACGACTGGAATCATTGATATTTTCTTAAAGTCCCTTACTTATTAATTAACCTTGCCTTACTGGTTTCTTTTGTAAGATTTTGATGAAATTTGAGTGTTGTTTACTTAATCTAATTATTGTAAAGTAGTTGATTCGTTGATGATGGTTTTCATACATGCCTTGTAATTTCATATTGACCATTTAATCAACTCGAAAAGTATATTTTTGTATTTGGGTTTTGGGCATGTTGGATACATGTATTCCTATATTAGTTCAGTTCAATTTTATTCAATTCAATTCGAAATACGTTATCCTTAAAAAGGCAATTACATGTACATATAGTTGGACAGCTCACTATAAGGACACTATAAGTAAGTAAATATATGAAATTGTAAACAATTACAAACTACATGTACTTATATCTAGATTTAGTTGCTTAAAATTCTTTGGTAATTATTGTTTCTTTTGTAATTGACTTTGTTGGATTGGAATTTTCTAAAGCATTGCATTTGATGGAAATTATTTCATCTTTTCAGAATTGTATTCCTAAGATGCAGTTACGCCATAAAAAGAACACGGAACAGACCTATCCATCCAATATGTCCTAGGTATGTCGCATTTTTCGGGTGTTACATATTATTAAAAAAATGGACCAAATTGTTCATTCGTAGCAAGGCAAGAGCTGGTTTATTCCACATGAGCAAAATCTGCCGATGTTATTATTTTTTTTAAAGGTGAAAATGCGACATAACATTAAACGTTTTCAGTGGTTGGTTTAAAAACGCGACATTTCAAAAATGCAATTTCAAAATTAACGAAGTTTTTTTTGTAGCGGCGGCATGGTCTAAAACCAACTCCGGACATGGCGCGTGCGAAGCCTCAGAGCCGGCACTTTGAGTGGTCGCCCCCCAGTGATGGTTGGGGTATGCATGTGCTACTTTTTTCTGCATTATTTTTTCTATTTTAGCAGCCTGGGGACGTGAGCTTAGACCCGTCCCCGCCGATCTTTACAGAGAGGTGGAGAGAGTGGTTCTGCCAGACAATCTTTGTCTTACTCTTGGACAGTCTTCCAGACGTTCAAGTGCTGGCTTTAGACAAGTGGTTATAACTTGCACACTACGTATATATTACAGTTCATGCGAGTCTTATTGTAGGTGGATGTTGCCACTTGAAATCAGGAATACGATGTAGTTAAAATCTCAATGTAATTCTACATTATTTTTTTACAAGTACGCTTATTCCCCCACCCAAAAATTTGGTTCTTGATGTTGGCTCCTCTCTTTGCATGGACTCCGCACGCTATGTGTCTCTCTCTAGATCTAGAGATCTCCCCTGCACCCGCGCGCGAAGCTCCATATCTACTGTTGATGAACATAGTTCGTTCTGGCATGGAGCTATAAAACACAAGGCAACATTTTTGGCAACACTTCAAGTGAACTTTGATCAGTCGACATCGCAATATAAATCATCATTGCCAGATACTGATGGTACACTGATTGCAGTGGGTGTAGACAGTTTAGTACACGTAGGCCTACGTCTATCATTCATTGACTATTATACATGGCCAACTGAGCCCGGCCAGAAATAATTCCCAGCCTCAACCACGCCCATCTGGATTGAGAAGTTCATGGTGAGTGTGAGTTTATTGTCATGCCTTAAATTGGACAGGAATAATTAGTCGTCGAGACAGGGGTAGGGCAATAATTGGATACTGCTTCCATGTGGGTTGCCATATGCTTAAAGTTTGATTGCGCGCTTGAACTTCTAACTGGATTTTTTACATTAGAAATGTGTAGGATAGATTTCCATTCCTGCATGGCCATCACTAAATTTTCCCCGCAGTGACCTATCAGCCATCAGAAAGTGATAATACATGTATGCATCCAGGGAAAATGTTGAAGCATTTACTGAAAAAAACACTTAGACATTTTCAGACCAGCCTCATATAGGGTTTGTGCACAGTTAATGTCCAGGTATGTCTTTGCAATGTGTATATTGTGTTGAAAATTGACATTGTTTGGGGATTTGTACATGTAGTGCAGGGGGTCGAGGCACTTTGTCACAATACAAAACAATATTTTGCGCCTTTTTGCAAAGTTCGGGGTGGGGGCGGAGGCCCCTTTCCGCCATATTCTATAGCATTACACCACTGGAATTTGTGTGGGATAAATTGCCTGTGCCCAATTTATTAGTTGGGTGCACCATGAAGTATAGTTTTGCCACGCGTCAGATATCGTCTGTGACTTGGTGCAAACAACTCCGTGGTGTCGCAACTGTCCACAACATTCTGCTGGACTTGGTGATGCGACTGACATAATATTCTACCATAGGCCTACAGATAATAATTGTGTTAACGTATCTTCATAAAACTTAATGCTTATTTTTTTAAAGCTTATTACTAGCATTATCAATCTTGATGAGAAAAGGGACGTTACAAATTAGGAGCATACGCTTGGGCGATCCAAGGACGCAGAGGAGACACTCCCGTCCCCCAGGCAATATATACAAGTCAAGTTGAAATATAAGCATGCTGTAGCTGGTAATACCAAGTTCAGTACATACTTTTCGATCGAGAACAGATTATATTGTTTGCATTCTTTTTGGCCTGACAGGTTTAGGTTCGACTGAAAGGTTGAAAATGGGGAACAAATTAGAACATCCGTCGGTGGAGCTTCCCCCGGAGAAGCTGGTGATGGTCACAGGTGGAAACACTGGTAAAAAAAAACCTGTTTTAGCATTCTTGCAAAAGTTTAACTTTTTTGAGGGGGTATATCTTCCAGAATCCGACTGAACTTTCAGAATTCCTGCACGAACCAAATGAATCTTACACAATATGATCCACCAGGATCCTACATAATTTTAATTCCTCACGCTCCGTGAAAATGGTTCAAGTTGAGAAAGACTTAATTCAAAATACAGCAGGCCTCCAAAACTTCATGGTGGGTTTTAAAGGTCTACTCGGAGACTAATCATGACAAATCATTATTTAATTCAATAATTCATCTCAAATGTCATCTTAAATTTTGATACTTATTCATGTTATACAAGATCTTGTTTTCTTACTCGAGTTCAAGTCTTTGGATTGGTTTCATAAGTTTCTTCCTTCAGAGTACCGTAATATATAACTATGTTTTCTTCATATTGTTCGTCCTTGGACTATCCTTTTCTCTTTAATACCTCAGTTATTAATTCCTTTGATGCAGGGATTGGATATGAAACGGCAAAGTCCATTGCGAAGATGGGAGCAAGAGTGTGCATTACAAGTCGCTCAGAGGACAAATAGTTTAGTCGGAAAAGGGGGGTATCGTGCACCCTCGGAAATCAATTTCTAATCAACGTTTCTAGGTAAGAAAAAATGCGTAGAAAACGATTTGCTATGTTAAAAAATTCAAAAAATGTCCCACGTATTGTTTTTATGCAAATTAGTGCCGCCATTACCGAAAAATCTATTTTTAATTATATCTCAGCCAATATTGCAGATAACTGAACGAACTAGGTGTCTAAACCCATGTTTTCAAGGTCAGAGATCACAATAAAACTATTCTGGAAGTGACCACATGTGTCTGTGGCATAGGAATATGCAAATTAGTGCCGCTAATACCGGAAAGTCATGTTTTTGGCATATCTCGGCCAATATAGCACATAACTACACCAGTAAGGTGTCTAAATCCATGTTTTGAGGGTCAAGTATCATTAGAAGACTATTCATGAAGTAACTATGTGTGTCTTTGGCATGAAAATATGTAAATAATAAAGTGTCGGTTTATCCGCTCTTTGATTTTTAGCCAATATCTCGGCCAATATTGCACTTAACTACACAAGTAAGGTGTCTAAACCCATGTTTTGAGGGTCAGGTATCATTAGAAGACCATTCACGAAGTAACTATGTGTGTCTTTGGTATGAAAATATGTAAATTCTAAATTGCCGGTTTATCAAAAAAATGATTTTCCGCCAAATTATATTCAATTTCAGCCAATATTACAGTTGATTTTGAATATGATGGCTTAAAATAAACTTTGATCATTATTGCTTATCAAAAACCCTTCTGTCAACATTAGCTGCAATATTGGCCGAGATATTGGCTAAAAATCAAATTTCTGATAAATCGACACTTTAGAATTTACATATTTACCTGCCAGAGACACACATAGTTACTTCGTGAATGGTTTCTAATGATACCTGACCATCAAAACATGGGTTTAGACACCTTACTTGTGTAGTTAAGTGCAATATTGGCCGAGATATTGGCTAAAAATCAAATAGCGGATAAACCGACACTTTATTATTTACATATTTTCATGCCAAAGACACACATAGGTACTTCGTGAATGGTCTTCTAATGATACTTGACCCTCAAAACATGGGTTTAGACACCTTACTGGTGTAGTTATGTGCTATATTGGCGAAATATGCCAAAAACATGACTTTCCGGTATTTGCGGCACTAATTTGCATATTCCTATGCCACAGACACATGTGGTCACTTCCAGAATAGTTTTATTGTGATCTCCGACCTTGAAAACATGGGTTTAGACACCTAGTTCGTTCAGTTATCTGCAATATTGGCTGAGATATAGTTACAAATAGATTTTTCGGTAATGGCGGCACTAATTTGCATAAAAACAATACGTGGGACATTTTTTGAATTTTTTAACATAGCAAATCGTTTTCTACGCATTTTTTCTAACCTAGAAACGTTGATTAGAAATTGATTTCCGAGGGTGCACGATACCCCCCTTTTCCGACTGAACTAAAAGCTAAAGCTGTGAGTGTGGTTTCGGGGAGTAAATCAGTAAACTGTGTGGTCCACTTCAACACGAAACTATTCTTGTATAGCTGTTTTCAAGTATAGGCACGCTGTATAGGGCATATAGGAACTCACTTTTGACTAGAATCCTCGTGGTATAAGGTCAGTGAAGTAACTCCTTTTCGACGAGTGGATTGGATGGGTCCTAAAATGTCCAGCTGGGAAATTCAAAAAGTGGGTTGGGGGCGGGGGGGGGGGGGAGCTGTTCATTACACAAATGTACATCTTATGCAAACTTGTGCGCTAGCTTACGTACGTCCCTTAACCTCACCGCAAAATCTTCCATTCCCTAACTTTTGTACTGTTTGTTCTCCGATTTTCTGAACTTGATGTAATACATTTTGACTATCTGAAAGTTACGAGATGACATTAAAATCGGCATTGCTTTTCAAGTTCTCACCACAAAAATTGGGGCGGGGAGGGGGGGGGGGAGATCCAGTGACCCATCCCCCCCCCTAGTCAAAAAGGGGGATATCTTCCCATCCCCTGCCAGGATTCACGCGGCCTTGGGTAAGGTGGTAGATATTTAGTAATATTTTGGCCACATTTTTTTCAGAGCTGTGGTTAATCCCTCAACTTTACCAAGCTTACAGCTCCGTGGAATAAGCCCCCGACATAAATCCCCCTTAGCACAGTAATTAAAAGATAAATTACTTAGCGAAAAACAGCTGAGATTATGTCACAAACAATTAAAAAAAATGTTACACATTATTTTTAGGAGCTCGAAGATCACGCCGCATTTAGGTATACAATGTATATTCTAAGTGATTTTCTTTGACGCATTAATGACTCAGGTTTTTGGTCATTTAGGCAATCGAGCGAATGCAGACAGAACATCGAGATGAAATGCAGCAGAGAAGTCATGGGCAGGTAAACTAAACCTTTTTTGAATGGTGACAATTTGTCTGATATGGCCAAAATGGTTTTACCTGATATGAAGTAAAAGTCTTAGTGGGGAGGCTTTTTCAAGTGTTTTTTGTCACGACATGGGGGTGCCTGTCAGTAGGGAAGCGTTGCCTAGTTGAAGCGCTCTGTGAACCTCTCAACAAACTTCCTTGTATGAGTAGGCTTGTTAAGGGGTGGTACGTTTAGCATCAAGGGGTTTATCTGACCATTCATGGAGAGGAAACTGCATGTAGATATTGCAAAAATGATCGAGTGGGATAATGTGTTCCTCACGTGAGTTGCTTCAGGGTTAGAAGGACTGTTGTCTGTTGTGACCCAGGGAGCTCTGGTCGAGGTAGTTTGGGTTTGTACTGGTCATCCTTGTTGATGGCTGAATAATCCTTGAGAATGTGATGAGGCTAGTGTGCTGTCAGTCACTTCCTAAATGGAAGATCATCCGAGCCTCGATTTAATGTCCATGAGACCTTCCTTTTTCTATAGGCTGTGAAGAATCTTGCTGCTTATCTGGACTATTAAGTTGTTTCTGATATTTCATAATTATGTTGCAGAATGAAGTTTTTTATATCAATCTTTTTCATACCAAGGAACCAGAGACAAAAATGGGCCAAATGAGCCATGTGTTAATTAACACGAGACTGACTTCACTTGTTAGTGGCTTTTTGTGGAAGCGGAGGTTGTAGTTTCTGATGATCTGTTGATGTTGGAAAGTTTGGAAGGGCCAGTAGGCCTACAAATATTTGTGGCTGATTAAATCCTATTGATTTTCCTAAATCAAATGTTTTTCTTATTACAATTTTCCATGAATGCTGCTGGCCAGGCGTCATCTCCATCCACCAGTGAAGAGATCAAGCCACTGAATGTGGAGTACATCATAGTGGATCTCGCCTCGTTGCAATCCACCATGGACTTCATTCAGAAGACCAAGGAGAGGATGCAGTACCTTAATATCTTGGTCTGCAATGCTGGCATTGCCTTTGTCAAACAAGGTAAGGACTCCGGCATCATGACCTATACATGGCGCTTGAAAGGACTGCTATCGAAAGTCTCAATTTGCTCCACTAGTTGTCGTGTTCAAAAGGGTTCTTTCGTTGGATTTCTTTCATAGAATACACAGAGGATAAATACGAGTCGCAATTCCAAGTCAACTACCTGTCACAGCTCCTCATTGTGCTGCATCTCATGCCGCTGCTGCGGGCTGGTGCCCCCGACTCCCGCATTGTTCTCCTGTCATCAGACGCGCATAAAAGTGGGAAACTAGACCTGGACAACATGCAGGGCCCCAAATCCTTCAGTCGGCTTACAGCCTACGCCTCATCCAAGGCCTACATGGTGAGATTCTTTTAATTCAGGAATTGAATGAAGTCGGTGATCTAGTCCAGTCAACACATGACGTCGCCAGACCATATTGAAATGGGGGATGTGACAACGACATTGCCGACTGACTCTCGTGCTGGAAGGTAGCCGGATGGTCACCCGCAGCCACCTATACTCTAAAAAGCAATGGGAGAGAGTGGGAGGGGGCCGGAGGCTATTTACCATCTTACCACAGGGGGCGCTATTCAAAGCAGATGGAACAGGACACTGTCTGTCAAATACATGTATAACACTGTTCATCCCCCTTCCGTGCCACCTTCGGTCTACCCCTAGTAAGAGTCTGAGCGTGTATGAGTCGTCCGTGATTAACTTGTTGGTTCAGATAAATGCTATGTATAATTTTTTCAGCCAGGTTGCCAGAGTTGTAATGACTCCAGTCAATGACTCGACTCGAGTCCGACTCGAGTCACAATTTTTGTTGACTCGAGTCGATTCGAGTCCCTAAGGGTAAATGACTCGACTCGACTCGAGTCACTGCGAGCAAATGACTCGACTCGACTCGAGTCCCTCATTAGAAGGCTCGACTCGACTCAAGCGAAGGCTAATAAGACTCGAGTCCCAAAAATAAAGGCGCAACTTTGCGAAAAGTATTTGCAGTGACTTACGGTGCAAAATTTGTGCTCACTTTACTTTGCGAATAGCAGTCATGTACAAATATACAACGTGTCACAGACTCCCACCTCATGGTTCTAGGACGCACAAAATACTATCCAGGAACCAGATTTTTAAACACATTTTCTAATTCGCTGTTTCATCATTGGTTTTGGGTGATTTCTTATAAAGCTCTTGGATTCGAACGCTGGCTAAACTTATAGCCTCCTTTTATAAATTTGGTATATATAGTGTTCAAATAATTGTGACTCGAATTGACTCGAGCTAAATATTTGACTCGACTCGACCTTTTGACCTAATGACTCGACTCGACTCAAGTCACTTCTTTAAAACGACTTGATTCGACTCGAGTCACAAAAATCAGTGACTCATTACAACTCTGCAGGTTGCAGGCACGTGTCCTTGACAAGTTAGCGCTATTTGGATAGTTGAGGGAGATTTTTGGCAGTTTTATGCGCGTGATGCAGTACACACATTCAGTGTGTCCCATGGGGCTCAGAAAAAAATGGTCACAAAATGCAATCTCTTGATCATGCATTAAGTCTGTATTGGGCTGCTCGTTCCTCATCCAAGGTCGGCAGAGAATTTTATTTCTGGATTTGTTATATCCTGAAAAGGTCATGGCAGCACACTTTCTTGCTCGGAGACTGGAAGGGACCGAAGTGAGCACTTTCTCTATTGATCCTGGACTTGTGGACACGAATATTATGAATAACTTCAGTGATTTGAAACTGATGAGCTTTTTCGTTGGAGCTTATAAAAAATTTGGTGAGTACACTTCTTGGTGCATTTGAACATTTAATATTATCATTGCCTGGCCGTGCATAAACTTTTTGTAGGTCATTTGACATGTATTTGGCAATCATCCACTGATCTTCATACTGTACTGTTTCAATTTCAGGTCCAATTAGTAGAGACTTTCATAATTATAACAAGGGTGCAAAGACTAAAATTTAACTTTGTAAGTTGCATTTCAAACTTTCTGAAGATTGAAGTGATTGAATGCTTTGTGTTTGCCCAAAGGTATGATGCGTACTCCGAAACAGGGGGCTGCTACAAGTGTCGTGGCCTGTGTTGATCCAAGCCTTCGTGGGAAAACTGCAGTGTTCATGAAGAATTGTCGACCTGCTAACCCTGCAACCTTCTGTTGGTAAGGCTTTGAGAAAATGCACACTTAACTGATCACACACATTTAGAAAATTGGAAAAACTTAGATGTTTTTTAGAAAAAAATTTCAGAAGAAATGTGAAAATATCAAGTTCGATTCTTAAGTAGTTCTAAATTTGCTGCATGTGAATTTGGACGCTGGGGTCCTGTGATGATTCTGACTCGAGGCTCCCTTTATTTGTTTTTTATCGAACTTGATTTTTATTATGTCCATTGATTCAATGATCTTTTAATTTCTGAAGGGCCAGCCCTCTGACCGGGTCCTATGGTGAGGTTTTGACTTTTACTGAAGAGACCTTTGATTTCCAGCTAATGAATCATATTTTAATAAGGGTCCTTTGATTTTAGACTCAAGGGTCCTTGGGTTTAATTTTCTACTTTAGGGATGGCAAAAAACAGGAGGACCTTTGGGGTTACAGTCTTGGATGTCTCAACCAGTTCATCTCTGATGGTGTGCTCAAAGAAGCCTTCCCATCAGCGAGGCCAGATCTGCTGACCATTCCCAAGGACACAAGGACAGTCGAAGAGAAGATTGCTGATGATTCAGGGAAGAAAGAAGGGAGTTCAGATGACAAAGAGATGGGAAACAAATCCAAAGGAGGAGAGGCATCTTTGGAGAGGAAGCAGGATGAGGAGCAACCAGAGATAGAGTCTTCATCTGGAGCTACAGAGGTACCCTCTGAAAAAGTCAAGGCATCGCAGGAACCATATGGGGCTAATTTAGAAGAAAAGATACCTGAAGACACACTCAAAGATGAAGACAACGAACCCAAGGCATCCTCCAAACAGGAGCAGACAGAAGAGCAGCCGAAAAGAGAATTACCATCTGCAGCTGCAGAATTACCCACTGAAAGGGTTAAGGCAGAGGAAAAACCCAGTGGGCAGGTTTCAGAGGAAAGGGGCGTGACAGATAATGCAGAAAATAAGTAATTAGCAGCTGAGAACTGCAGCATCTTCAGATAATAAGCAGGTGTAGAACAACCAGAGAGGGAACCTTCAGCTCAGCCAGCTTCTGTAATTGACCAGACATCAGGAGAACCGAAGGCAGATAATGGGGAAATCTGCAGGAGATGAGGTGCAGAAGTTCAAGAAGGTGTACCGACCAAACTTGGCCAAAAATTATCAAAGTGGACTCCATTAAAGAGATTTGTGATGAACTGAAAATTTGGTGAAATCTAAATAATATTCAAATTCACAAGGTTTAGGTGTATATTAAAGACCACAAGGTATCGAAGAAAGATTAAACCTTGGCAGAAACTGCCAGAGAGACTATTTGGTCATAGTACGTGATGAGATCCAGACTTGTAGATAGTCCAGGCAAAATACTTTATTTTTGAAGTGAACCTCACACAAATTGCAACAGATTTTTTTGTTCATCACATTGCACTTATGTAAGGTCCCTAGAATGGTGTAGTAACAGTCTTAAAAATCCAAGTGGTGGAAATATGCCTAATTTGCATAAATCGTTAATACCTCTCCGGTAATATATTTCATCCCATATTTGGGTATATATATATATTTTTTTTTAAAGTTTATTTTAGTGATTGTACTTACACATCCTTACTTCAATAACACAAAATTCACAACAAAAAAGATTAGTGTTGCGTACAATAATTGTGTCAATGTCAGAATGTTTTTTTACCAATAATTTTGGGAATTTCCTTGAACTTGTTCAAGTCCCACCGTTAGGCATCCCATCACCTTCTTTTCAGCCCCGAGTTTACGGACACCTTGTTTTCCCTGTTTTTTGTTTGCTGGGCTAAATATCACAATGTTATCATTGTTCACATGATTTTCAATAAAGTTTTAGTAGGGGAACTGTGCCAGTAAGCAACTTGGTGAATTTGAAGCTCATCGGTGTTGAGGTTTGGCAAGACTACTTGATGATATCTGGAGATGATGTCTCTAGAAAAAAATCCTGGAGACGCCCATACTTGTTAGTTTACAATTCTCAAGATACATTGTATTTACTTCGGACGACTGGAATCATTGATATTTTCTTAAAGTCCCTTACTTATTAATTAACCTTGCCTTACTTGTTTCTTTTGTAAGATTTTGATGAAATTTGAGTGTTGTTTACTTAATCTAATTATTGTAAAGTAGTTGATTCGTTGATGATGGTTTTCATACATGCCTTGTAATTTCATATTGACCATTTAATCAACTCGAAAAGTATATTTTGGTATTTGGGTTTGGGGCATGTTGGATACATGTATTCCTATATTAGTTCAGTTCAATTTCATTCAATTCAATTCGAAATACGTTATCCTTAAAAAGGCAATTACATGTACATATAGTTGGACAGCTCACTATAAGGACACTATAAGTAAGTAAATATATGAAATTGTAAACAATTACAAACTACATGTACTCATATCTAGATTAAGTTGCTTAAAATTCTTTGGTAATTATTGTTTCTTTTGTAATTGACTTTGTTGGGTTGGAATTTTCTAAAGCATTGCATTTGATGAAAATTATTTCATCTTTTCAGTATTCCTAAGATGCAGTTACGCCATAAAAAGAACACGGAACAGACGTATCCATCCTATATATCCTAGGTATGTCGCATTTTTCAGGTGTTGCATATTATTTTTTAAAAATGGACCAAATTGTTCATTCGTAGCAAGGCAAAAGCTAGTTTATTCCACATGACATGCAAAATCTGCCGATGTTAATTTTTTTTTAAAAGGTGAAAATGCAACATAACATTAAAAGTTTTCAGCGGCTGGTTTAAAAACGCAACATTTCAAAAATACAATTTCAAAATAAACGAACTTTTTGTAGCGGCGGCATGGTCTAAAACCAACTCTTGACATGGCGCGTGCGAAGCCTCGGAGCCGGCACTTTGAGAGGTCGCCCACCAGTGATGGTGGGAAGTATGCATGTGCTACTTTTTTCAGCATGATTTTTCTATTTAAGCAGCCTGGGGACGTACGTGAGCTTAGACCCGCCCCGCCGATCTTTACAGAGAGGTGGAGAGAGTGGTTCTGCCAGACAATCTTTGTCTTACTCTTGGACAGTCTTCCAGACGTTCAAGTGCTGGCTTTAGACAAGTGGTTATAACTTGCACACTACGTATATATTGCAGTTCATGCGAGTCTTATTGTAGGTGGATGTTGCCACTTGAAATCAGGAATACGATGTAGTTAAAATCTCAATGTAATTCTACATTATTTTTTTACAAGTACGCTTATTCCCCCACCCGAAAATTTGGTTCTTGATGTTGGCTCCTCTCTTTGCATGGACTCCGCACGCTATGTGTCTCTCTCTAGATCTAGAGATCTCCCCTGCACCGCGCGCGAAGCTCCATATCTACTGTTGATGAACATAGTTCGTTCTGGCATGGAGCTATAAAACACAAGGCAACATTTTTGGCAACACTTCAAGTGAACTTTGATCAGTCGACATCGCAATATAAATCATCATTGCCAGATACTGATGGTACACTGATTGCAGTGGGTGTAGACAGTTTAGTACACGTAGGCCTACGTCTATCATTCATTGACTATTATACATGGCCAACTGAGCCCGGCCAGAAATAATTCCCAGCCTCAACCACGCCCATCTGGATTGAGAAGTTCATGGTGAGTGTGAGTTTATTGTCATGCCTTAAATTGGACAGGAATAATTAGTCGTCGAGACAGGGGTAGGGCAATAATTGGATACTGCTTCGATGTGGGTTGCCATATGCTTAAAGTTTGATTGCGCGCTTGAACTTCTAACTGGATTTTTTACATTAGAAATGTGTAGGATAGATTTCCATTCCTGCATGGCCATCACTAAATTTTCCCCGCAGTGACCTATCAGCCATCAGAAAGTGATAATACATGTATGCATCCAGGGAAAATGTTGAAGCATTTACTGAAAAAAACACTTAGACATTTTCAGACCAGCCTCATATAGGGTTTGTGCACAGTTAATGTCCAGGTATGTCTTTGCAATGTGTATATTGTGTTGAAAATTGACATTGTTTGGGGATTTGTACATGTAGTGCAGGGGGTCGAGGCACTTTGTCACAATACAAAACAATATTTTGCGCCTTTTTGCAAAGTTCGGGGTGGGGGCGGAGGCCCCTTTCCGCCATATTCTATAGCATTACACCACTGGAATTTGTGTGGGATAAATTGCCTGTGCCCAATTTATTAGTTGGGTGCACCATGAAGTATAGTTTTGCCACGCGTCAGATATCGTCTGTGACTTGGTGCAAACAACTCCGTGGTGTCGCAACTGTCCACAACATTCTGCTGGACTTGGTGATGCGACTGACATAATATTCTACCATAGGCCTACAGATAATAATTGTGTTAACGTATCTTCATAAAACTTAATGCTTATTTTTTTAAAGCTTATTACTAGCATTATCAATCTTGATGAGAAAAGGGACGTTACAAATTAGGAGCATACGCTTGGGCGATCCAAGGACGCAGAGGAGACACTCCCGTCCCCCAGGCAATATATACAAGTCAAGTTGAAATATAAGCATGCTGTAGCTGGTAATACCAAGTTCAGTACATACTTTTCGATCGAGAACAGATTATATTGTTTGCATTCTTTTTGGCCTGACAGGTTTAGGTTCGACTGAAAGGTTGAAAATGGGGAACAAATTAGAACATCCGTCGGTGGAGCTTCCCCCGGAGAAGCTGGTGATGGTCACAGGTGGAAACACTGGTAAAAAAAAACCTGTTTTAGCATTCTTGCAAAAGTTTAACTTTTTTGAGGGGGTATATCTTCCAGAATCCGACTGAACTTTCAGAATTCCTGCACGAACCAAATGAATCTTACACAATATGATCCACCAGGATCCTACATAATTTTAATTCCTCACGCTCCGTGAAAATGGTTCAAGTTGAGAAAGACTTAATTCAAAATACAGCAGGCCTCCAAACTTCATGGTGGGTTTTAAAGGTCTACTCGGAGACTAATCATGACAAATCATTATTTAATTCAATAATTCATCTCAAATGTCATCTTAAATTTTGATACTTATTCATGTTATACAAGATCTTGTTTTCTTACTCGAGTTCAAGTCTTTGGATTGGTTTCATAAGTTTCTTCCTTCAGAGTACCGTAATATATAACTATGTTTTCTTCATATTGTTCGTCCTTGGACTATCCTTTTCTCTTTAATACCTCAGTTATTAATTCCTTTGATGCAGGGATTGGATATGAAACGGCAAAGTCCATTGCGAAGATGGGAGCAAGAGTGTGCATTACAAGTCGCTCAGAGGACAAAGCTAAAGCTGTGAGTGTGGTTTCGGGGAGTAAATCAGTAAACTGTGTGGTCCACTTCAACACGAAGCTATTCTTGTATAGCTGTTTTCAAGTATAGGCACGCTGTATAGGGCATATAGGAACTCACTTTTGACTAGAATCCTCGTGGTATAAGGTCAGTGAAGTAACTCCTTTTCGACGAGTGGATTGGATGGGTCCTAAAATGTCCAGCTGGGAAATTCAAAAAGTGGGTTGGGGGCGGGGGGGGGGGGGAGCTGTTCATTACACAAATGTACATCTTATGCAAACTTGTGCGCTAGCTTACGTACGTCCCTTAACCTCACCGCAAAATCTTCCATTCCCTAACTTTTGTACTGTTTGTTCTCCGATTTTCTGAACTTGATGTAATACATTTTGACTATCTGAAAGTTACGAGATGACATTAAAATCGGCATTGCTTTTCAAGTTCTCACCACAAAAATTGGGGCGGGGAGGGGGGGGGAGATCCAGTGACCCATCCCCCCCCCCCCCCTAGTCAAAAAGGGGGATATCTTCCCATCCCCTGCCAGGATTCACGCGGCCTTGGGTAAGGTGGTAGATATTTAGTAATATTTTGGCCACATTTTTTTCAGAGCTGTGGTTAATCCCTCAACTTTACCAAGCTTACAGCTCCGTGGAATAAGCCCCCGACATAAATCCCCCTTAGCACAGTAATTAAAAGATAAATTACTTAGCGAAAAACAGCTGAGATTATGTCACAAACAATTAAAAAAAATGTTACACATTATTTTTAGGAGCTCGAAGATCACGCCGCATTTAGGTATACAATGTATATTCTAAGTGATTTTCTTTGACGCATTAATGACTCAGGTTTTTGGTCATTTAGGCAATCGAGCGAATGCAGACAGAACATCGAGATGAAATGCAGCAGAGAAGTCATGGGCAGGTAAACTAAACCTTTTTTGAATGGTGACAATTTGTCTGATATGGCCAAAATGGTTTTACCTGATATGAAGTAAAAGTCTTAGTGGGGAGGCTTTTTCAAGTGTTTTTTGTCACGACATGGGGGTGCCTGTCAGTAGGGAAGCGTTGCCTAGTTGAAGCGCTCTGTGAACCTCTCAACAAACTTCCTTGTATGAGTAGGCTTGTTAAGGGGTGGTACGTTTAGCATCAAGGGGTTTATCTGACCATTCATGGAGAGGAAACTGCATGTAGATATTGCAAAAATGATCGAGTGGGATAATGTGTTCCTCACGTGAGTTGCTTCAGGGTTAGAAGGACTGTTGTCTGTTGTGACCCAGGGAGCTCTGGTCGAGGTAGTTTGGGTTTGTACTGGTCATCCTTGTTGATGGCTGAATAATCCTTGAGAATGTGATGAGGCTAGTGTGCTGTCAGTCACTTCCTAAATGGAAGATCATCCGAGCCTCGATTTAATGTCCATGAGACCTTCCTTTTTCTATAGGCTGTGAAGAATCTTGCTGCTTATCTGGACTATTAAGTTGTTTCTGATATTTCATAATTATGTTGCAGAATGAAGTTTTTTATATCAATCTTTTTCATACCAAGGAACCAGAGACAAAAATGGGCCAAATGAGCCATGTGTTAATTAACACGAGACTGACTTCACTTGTTAGTGGCTTTTTGTGGAAGCGGAGGTTGTAGTTTCTGATGATCTGTTGATGTTGGAAAGTTTGGAAGGGCCAGTAGGCCTACAAATATTTGTGGCTGATTAAATCCTATTGATTTTCCTAAATCAAATGTTTTTCTTATTACAATTTTCCATGAATGCTGCTGGCCAGGCGTCATCTCCATCCACCAGTGAAGAGATCAAGCCACTGAATGTGGAGTACATCATAGTGGATCTCGCCTCGTTGCAATCCACCATGGACTTCATTCAGAAGACCAAGGAGAGGATGCAGTACCTTAATATCTTGGTCTGCAATGCTGGCATTGCCTTTGTCAAACAAGGTAAGGACTCCGGCATCATGACCTATACATGGCGCTTGAAAGGACTGCTATCGAAAGTCTCAATTTGCTCCACTAGTTGTCGTGTTCAAAAGGGTTCTTTCGTTGGATTTCTTTCATAGAATACACAGAGGATAAATACGAGTCGCAATTCCAAGTCAACTACCTGTCACAGCTCCTCATTGTGCTGCATCTCATGCCGCTGCTGCGGGCTGGTGCCCCCGACTCCCGCATTGTTCTCCTGTCATCAGACGCGCATAAAAGTGGGAAACTAGACCTGGACAACATGCAGGGCCCCAAATCCTTCAGTCGGCTTACAGCCTACGCCTCATCCAAGGCCTACATGGTGAGATTCTTTTAATTCAGGAATTGAATGAAGTCGGTGATCTAGTCCAGTCAACACATGACGTCGCCAGACCATATTGAAATGGGGGATGTGACAACGACATTGCCGACTGACTCTCGTGCTGGAAGGTAGCCGGATGGTCACCCGCAGCCACCTATACTCTAAAAAGCAATGGGAGAGAGTGGGAGGGGGCCGGAGGCTATTTACCATCTTACCACAGGGGGCGCTATTCAAAGCAGATGGAACAGGACACTGTCTGTCAAATACATGTATAACACTGTTCATCCCCCTTCCGTGCCACCTTCGGTCTACCCCTAGTAAGAGTCTGAGCGTGTATGAGTCGTCCGTGATTAACTTGTTGGTTCAGATAAATGCTATGTATAATTTTTTCAGCCAGGTTGCCAGAGTTGTAATGACTCCAGTCAATGACTCGACTCGAGTCCGACTCGAGTCACAATTTTTGTTGACTCGAGTCGATTCGAGTCCCTAAGGGTAAATGACTCGACTCGACTCGAGTCACTGCGAGCAAATGACTCGACTCGACTCGAGTCCCTCATTAGAAGGCTCGACTCGACTCAAGCGAAGGCTAATAAGACTCGAGTCCCAAAAATAAAGGCGCAACTTTGCGAAAAGTATTTGCAGTGACTTACGGTGCAAAATTTGTGCTCACTTTACTTTGCGAATAGCAGTCATGTACAAATATACAACGTGTCACAGACTCCCACCTCATGGTTCTAGGACGCACAAAATACTATCCAGGAACCAGATTTTTAAACACATTTTCTAATTCGCTGTTTCATCATTGGTTTTGGGTGATTTCTTATAAAGCTCTTGGATTCGAACGCTGGCTAAACTTATAGCCTCCTTTTATAAATTTGGTATATATAGTGTTTAAATAATTGTGACTCGAATTGACTCGAGCTAAATATTTGACTCGACTCGACCTTTTGACCTAATGACTCGACTCGACTCAAGTCACTTCTTTAAAACGACTTGATTCGACTCGAGTCACAAAAATCAGTGACTCATTACAACTCTGCAGGTTGCAGGCACGTGTCCTTGACAAGTTAGCGCTATTTGGATAGTTGAGGGAGATTTTTGGCAGTTTTATGCGCGTGATGCAGTACACACATTCAGTGTGTCCCATGGGGCTCAGAAAAAAATGGTCACAAAATGCAATCTCTTGATCATGCATTAAGTCTGTATTGGGCTGCTCGTTCCTCATCCAAGGTCGGCAGAGAATTTTATTTCTGGATTTGTTATATCCTGAAAAGGTCATGGCAGCACACTTTCTTGCTCGGAGACTGGAAGGGACCGAAGTGAGCACTTTCTCTATTGATCCTGGACTTGTGGACACGAATATTATGAATAACTTCAGTGATTTGAAACTGATGAGCTTTTTCGTTGGAGCTTATAAAAAATTTGGTGAGTACACTTCTTGGTGCATTTGAACATTTAATATTATCATTGCCTGGCCGTGCATAAACTTTTTGTAGGTCATTTGACATGTATTTGGCAATCATCCACTGATCTTCATACTGTACTGTTTCAATTTCAGGTCCAATTAGTAGAGACTTTCATAATTATAACAAGGGTGCAAAGACTAAAATTTAACTTTGTAAGTTGCATTTCAAACTTTCTGAAGATTGAAGTGATTGAATGCTTTGTGTTTGCCCAAAGGTATGATGCGTACTCCGAAACAGGGGGCTGCTACAAGTGTCGTGGCCTGTGTTGATCCAAGCCTTCGTGGGAAAACTGCAGTGTTCATGAAGAATTGTCGACCTGCTAACCCTGCAACCTTCTGTTGGTAAGGCTTTGAGAAAATGCACACTTAACTGATCACACACATTTAGAAAATTGGAAAAACTTAGATGTTTTTTAGAAAAAAATTTCAGAAGAAATGTGAAAATATCAAGTTCGATTCTTAAGTAGTTCTAAATTTGCTGCATGTGAATTTGGACGCTGGGGTCCTGTGATGATTCTGACTCGAGGCTCCCTTTATTTGTTTTTTATCGAACTTGATTTTTATTATGTCCATTGATTCAATGATCTTTTAATTTCTGAAGGGCCAGCCCTCTGACCGGGTCCTATGGTGAGGTTTTGACTTTTACTGAAGAGACCTTTGATTTCCAGCTAATGAATCATATTTTAATAAGGGTCCTTTGATTTTAGACTCAAGGGTCCTTGGGTTTAATTTTCTACTTTAGGGATGGCAAAAAACAGGAGGACCTTTGGGGTTACAGTCTTGGATGTCTCAACCAGTTCATCTCTGATGGTGTGCTCAAAGAAGCCTTCCCATCAGCGAGGCCAGATCTGCTGACCATTCCCAAGGACACAAGGACAGTCGAAGAGAAGATTGCTGATGATTCAGGGAAGAAAGAAGGGAGTTCAGATGACAAAGAGATGGGAAACAAATCCAAAGGAGGAGAGGCATCTTTGGAGAGGAAGCAGGATGAGGAGCAACCAGAGATAGAGTCTTCATCTGGAGCTACAGAGGTACCCTCTGAAAAAGTCAAGGCATCGCAGGAACCATATGGGGCTAATTTAGAAGAAAAGATACCTGAAGACACACTCAAAGATGAAGACAACGAACCCAAGGCATCCTCCAAACAGGAGCAGACAGAAGAGCAGCCGAAAAGAGAATTACCATCTGCAGCTGCAGAATTACCCACTGAAAGGGTTAAGGCAGAGGAAAAACCCAGTGGGCAGGTTTCAGAGGAAAGGGGCGTGACAGATAATGCAGAAAATAAGTAATTAGCAGCTGAGAACTGCAGCATCTTCAGATAATAAGCAGGTGTAGAACAACCAGAGAGGGAACCTTCAGCTCAGCCAGCTTCTGTAATTGACCAGACATCAGGAGAACCGAAGGCAGATAATGGGGAAATCTGCAGGAGATGAGGTGCAGAAGTTCAAGAAGGTGTACCGACCAAACTTGGCCAAAAATTATCAAAGTGGACTCCATTAAAGAGATTTGTGATGAACTGAAAATTTGGTGAAATCTAAATAATATTCAAATTCACAAGGTTTAGGTGTATATTAAAGACCACAAGGTATCGAAGAAAGATTAAACCTTGGCAGAAACTGCCAGAGAGACTATTTGGTCATAGTACGTGATGAGATCTAGACTTGTAGATAGTCCAGGCAAAATACTTTATTTTTGAAGTGAACCTCACACAAATTGCAACAGATTTTTTTTTTCATCACATTGCACTTATGTAAGGTCCCTAGAATGGTGTAGTAACAGTCTTAAAAATCGAAGTGGTGGAAATATGCCTAATTTGCATAAATCGTTAATACCTCTCCTGTAATATATTTGTTCCCATATTTGGGTATATATATATATTTTTTTTAAAGTTTATTTTAGTGATTGTACTTACACATCCTTACTTCAATAACTCAAAATTCACAAAAAAAAGATAAGTGTTGCTTCCAATAATTGTGTCAATGTCAGAATGCTTTCTTACCAATAATTTTGGGAATTTCCTTGAACTTGTTCAAGTCCCACCGTTAGGCATCCCATCACCTTCTTTTCAGCCCCGAATTTACGGACACCTTGTTTTCCCTGTTTTTTGTTTGCTGGGCTAAATATCACAATGTTATCATTGTTCACATGATTTTCAATAAAGTTTTAGTAGGGGAACTGTGCCAGTAAGCAACTTGGTGAATTTGAAGCTCATCGGTGTTGAGGTTTGGCAAGACTACTGGATGATATCTGGAGATGATGTCTCTAGAAAAAAATCCTGGCGACGCCCATACTTGTTAGTTCACAATTCTCAAGATACATTGTATTTACTTCGGACGACTGGAATCATTGATATTGTGTTAAAGTCCCTTACTTATTAATTAGCCTTGCCTTACTGGTTTCTTTTGTAAGATTTTGATGAAATTTGGGTGTTGTTTACTTAATCTAATTATTGTAAAGTAGTTGATTCATTGATGATGGTTTTCATACATGCCTTGTAATTTCATATTGACCATTTAATCAACTCGAAAAGTATATTTTTGTATTTGGGTTTTGGGCATGTTGGATACATGTATTCCTATATTAGTTCAGTTCAATTTTATTCAATTCAATTCGAAATACGTTATCCTTAAAAAAGGCAATTACATGTACATATAGTTGGACAGCTCACTATAAGGACACTATAAGTAAGTAAATATATGACATTGTAAACCGTTACAAACTACAGGCATGTACTTATATCTAGATTTAGTTGCTTAAAATTCTTTGGTAATTATTGTTTCTTTTGTAATTGACTTTGTTGGATTTGAATTTTCTAAAGCATTGCATTTGATGAAAATTATTTCATCTTTTCAGTATTCCTAAGATGCAGTTACGCCATAAAAAGAACACGGAACAGACGTATCCATCCTATATGTCCTAGGCATGTCGCATTTTTCAGGTGTTGCATATTATTTTTTAAAAATGGACCAAATTGTTCATTCGTAGCAAGGCAAAAGCTAGTTTATTCCACATGACATGCAAAATCTGCCGATGTTAATTTTTTTTTTTAAGGTGAAAATGCAACATTACATTAAAAGTTTTCAGCGGCTGGTTTAAAAACGCAACATTTCAAAAATACAATTTCAAAATAAACGAACTTTTTGTAGCGGCGGCATGGTCTAAAACCAACTCTTGACATGGCGCGTGCGAAGCCTCGGAGCCGGCACTTTGAGAGGTCGCCCACCAGTGATGGTGGGAAGTATGCATGTGCTACTTTTTTCAGCATGATTTTTCTATTTAAGCAGCCTGGGGACGTACGTGAGCTTAGACCCGCCCCGCCGATCTTTACAGAGAGGTGGAGAGAGTGGTTCTGCCAGACAATCTTTGTCTTACTCTTGGACAGTCTTCCAGACGTTCAAGTGCTGGCTTTAGACAAGTGGTTATAACTTGCACACTACGTATATATTGCAGTTCATGCGAGTCTTATTGTAGGTGGATGTTGCCACTTGAAATCAGGAATACGATGTAGTTAAAATCTCAATGTAATTCTACATTATTTTTTTACAAGTACGCTTATTCCCCCACCCGAAAATTTGGTTCTTGATGTTGGCTCCTCTCTTTGCATGGACTCCGCACGCTATGTGTCTCTCTCTAGATCTAGAGATCTCCCCTGCACCCGCGCGCGAAGCTCCATATCTACTGTTGATGAACATAGTTCGTTCTGGCATGCGCATGGAGCTATAAAACACAAGGCAACATTTTTGGCAACACTTCAAGTGAACTTTGATCAGTCGACATCGCAATATAAATCATCATTGCCAGATACTGATGGTACACTGATTGCAGTGGGTGTAGACAGTTTAGTACACGTAGGCCTACGTCTATCATTCATTGACTATTATACATGGCCAACTGAGCCCGGCCAGAAATAATTCCCAGCCTCAACCACGCCCATCTGGATTGAGAAGTTCATGGTGAGTGTGAGTTTATTGCCATGCCTTAAATTGGACAGGAATAATTAGTCGTCGAGACAGGGGTAGGGCAATAATTGGATACTGCTTCCATGTGGGTTGCCATATGCTTAAAGTTTGATCGCGCGCTTGAACTTCTAACTGGATTTTTTACATTAGAAATGTGTAGGATAGATTTCCATTCCTGCATGGCCATCACTAAATTTTCCCTGCAGTGACCTATCAGCCATCAGAAAGTGATACTACACGTATGCATCCAGGGAAAATGTTGAAGCATTTACTGAGAAAACACTTAGACAGTTTCAGACCAGCCTCATATAGGGTTTGTGCACAGTTAATATCCAGGTATGGAAATCTTTGCAATGTGTATATTGTGTTGAAAATTGACATTGATTGGGGATTTGTACATGTAGTGCAGGGGGTCGAGGCACTTTGTCACAATACAAAACAATATTTTGCGCCTTTTTGCAAAGTTCGGGGTGGGGGCGGAGGCCCCTTTCCGCCATATTCTATAGCATTACACCACTGGAATTTGTGTGGGATAAATTGCCTGTGCCCAATTTATTAGTTGGGTGCACCATGAAGTATAGTTTTGCCACGCTAGGAAGTGTCAGATATCGTCTGTGACTTGGTGCACACAACTCTGTGGTGTCGCAACTGTCCACAACATTCTGATGGACTTGGTGATGCGACTGACATAATATTCTACCATAGGCCTACAGATAATAATTTGCAGAGCCAGTTATGTTAACGTATCTTCATAAAACTTAATTCCTTTTTTTTTTTAGCTTATTACTAGCATTATCAATCTTGATGAGAAAAGGGACGTTACAAATTAGGAGCATGCGCTTGGGTGATCCAAGGACGCAGAGGAGACACTCCCGTCCCCCAGGCAATATATACAAGTCAAGTTGAAATATAAGCATGCTGTAGCTGGAAGTACAAAGTTCAGTACATAATTTTCGGTCGAGAACAGATTATATTGTTTGCATTCTTTTTGGCCTGACAGGTTAAGGTTAGACTGAAAGGTTGAAGATGGGGAATAAATTAGAACATCCGTCTGTGGAGCTTCCCCCGGAGAAGCTGGTGATGGTCACAGGTGGAAACACTGGTAAATTTTTTTCTTTTCAAATTTCACTAAATCCCTTAGCATTCTTGCAAAATTTAACTTTTTTTGAGGGGGTATAGTTTCCAGAATCCTACACAACTTACCAGATAGATTCCTACACAAACCACATGAATCTTACACAATGAACCACCAGGATCCTACAGAATTTAAATCCCTCATGCTCCGTGGAAAGTGATCAAAGTGAGAAAGACTTGGTTCAAAATGCAGCATAATCCTCCAAAACCTCATGGTGGGTTTAAAAGGTCTAGGAGACTGTAAGAAGGACAAATCATTATTTAATTCAATTATTCATCTAAAATGTAATCTTAAATTTTGATACTTATTCATTTTATAATAAATCTTAAGTGTTTACGCAACTTCAAGTTCAAGTCTTTGGATTGGTTTCATTGTTTCTACCTTCAGAGTACAATAACAACTATGTTTTCTTCATATTGTTCGTCCTTGGAAGATCCTTTTCTCTATAATACCTCACTTATCAATTCCTTTGATGCAGGGATTGGATATGAAACGGCAAAGTCCATTGCGAAGATGGGAGCAAGAGTGTGCATTACAAGTCGCTCAGAGGACAAAGCTAAAGCGGTGAGTGTGGTTTCGGGGAGTAAATCGGTAAAATAATGTGTGGTCCACTTAACCACGAAACTTGTAGCTGTTTTCAAGTATCATATGAGCTCACGAGTGGATTTGATGGATCTTAAAATGTCCAGCCGGGAAGTTCGAAAGTGGGGTTTCTTAATATGCAGACTTGTGTGCTAGCTCAAAATGGTCCTTTCCTAACTTTTGCACTCTTCGGTTTTCTGAACTTGATGTAATACATTCTTACTATATGAAAGTTACGAGATGACATTAAAATCGGCATTTCTGGTGAACAATGAAAAGCAGCGATTTGTCAACAAAGGAATATATTTATTTCAAATTTTGAAATTGCATGTTAAGATTTTTAAACGGGGGCGGGTGGGGGTGGGGAATGATCCAGGGGCCATCCTCCCCTAGTAAAAAAAAAAAGGGGGGGGGTATATCCTCGATCCCATCTTCTGCCGGGATTTACGCCCTTGGGTTAAGGGTGGTAGATATTTAGTAGTAGTTTGGCCAATAAGAATAAGCCCCTGACATATATCTCTTTAACGCAGTAATTAAAATATATTACAAACACAGATCTTAGTTTATTTCATTACTTGGCAAAAAGCAGCTGAGATTATGTCACAAACAATTAAAAAAAGAAAAGAAATTGCACTTTTTAGGAGCGCCAAGAACGCCCACTTTAGGTATACAATGTATATTCTAAGTGATTTTTTTTGACGCATTGATGACTCAGGTTTTTGGTCATTTAGGCAATCGAGCGAATGCAGACAGAACATCGAGATGAAATGCTGCAGAAGAGTCATGGGCAGGTAAACTAACCCTTTTTTGAATGGTGACAATTTGTCTGATATGGCCAAAATGGTTTTACCTGATATGAAGTAAAAGTCTTAGTGGGGCTTTTTCAAGTGTTTTTTTTGTCACGACATGGGGTGCCTTTCAGTAGGGAAGCTTGGCGTAGTTGAAGCGCTCTGTAAACCTCTCAACAAACTTCCTTGTAGGAGTAGGCTTGATAAGGGTGGCATGTTTAGATAAACCGTTTATCTGACCGTTCATGGAGAGGAAACTGGATGTAGATACATGGTGTATTGCAAAAATGATCGAGTGGGATAATGTGTTCCACACTGTGACTTGCTTCAGGGTTAGAAGGACCATTGTCTGTTGTGACCCAGGGAGCTCTAGTCGAGGTAGTTTGGGTTTGTACTGGCCATCCATGTTGAATGGCTAAATTAGTACTGGAGTATGTGATGAGGCAAGTGTGATGTCAATCACTTCCTAATGGAAGATCATCCAAGCTTGGATATAATGTCCGTGCAGTGCCTTTTTTCTAAAGGCTGTAAAGAATCTTGCTGCTTATCTGGACTATTAAGTTGTTTCTGATATTTCATAATTATGTTGCAGAATGAAGTTTTTTCTATCAATCTTTTTCATACCAGGGAACCAGAGACAAAAATGGGCCGAATGAACCATGTGTTAACTAACACGAGACTGACTTCACTTGTTAGTGACTTTTTGTGGAAGCGGAGGTTATAGTTTCTGATGATCTGTTGATGTTGGAAAGTTTGGAAGGGCCAGTAGGCCTACAAATATTTGTGACTGATTAAACCCTTTTGATTTTCCTAAATCAAATGTTTTTCTTATTACAATTGTCCATGAATGCCACTGGCCAGGCGTCATCTCCATCCACTAGTGAAGAAGTTGAGATCAAGCCACTGAATGTGGAGTACATCAAAGTGGATCTGGCCTCGTTGCAATCCACCATGGACTTCATTCAGAAGACCAAGGAGAGGATGCAGTACCTTAATATCTTGGTCTGCAATGCTGGCATTGCCTTTGCCAAACAAGGTAAGGACTCCGGCATCATGACCTATACATGGCGCTTGAAAGGACTGCTATCGAAAGTCTCAATTTGCTCCACTAGTTGTCGTGTTCAAAAGGGTTCTTTCGTTGGATTTCTTTCATAGAATACACAGAGGATAAATACGAGTCGCAATTCCAAGTCAACTACCTGTCACAGCTCCTCATTGTGCTGCATCTCATGCCGCTGCTGCGGGCTGGTGCCCCCGACTCCCGCATTGTTCTCCTGTCATCAGAGGCGCATAGTAGTGGGAAACTAGACCTGGACAACATGCAGGGCCGAAAATCCTTCAGTCGGTATACAGCCTACGCCTCATCCAAGGCTTACATGGTGAGATTCTTTTAATTCAGGAATTGAATGAAGTCGGTGATCTAGTCCAGTAAACACATGACGTCGCCAGACCATATTGAAATGGGGGATGTGACAACGAAATTGCCGACCGACTATCGTGATGGAAGGTAGCCGGATAGTCACCCGCTGCCACCTATACTCTAAAAAGCAATGGGAGAGAGGGGGAGGGGGAAGCTATTTACCATCTTACCACAGGGGGCGCTATTCAAAGCAGATGGAAAGGACACTGTCTGGCAAATACATGTATAACACTGTTCATCCCCCTTCAGTGCCACCTTCGGTCTACCCCTAGTAAGAGTCTGAGCGTGTACAATGTATAAGTCGTCAGTGATTAACTCAAGATACTTGTTGGTTCAGATAATTAATGCTATGTATAATTTTTTCAGCCAGGTTGCTGGCAAGCGCCTCGACAAGTATCGCTGATGAGAGAGAGTATGAGGGAGACAATGGATATTTGGCAGTTTTATGCGCGTGATGCAGTACACACATTCAGTGTGTCCCACGGGGCTCAGAAAAAGTTTTCACAAAATGTAATCTCATGATCATGCATTGAGTCTGTATTGAGCTGCTCGTTCCTCATCCAAAGTCGGAAGAGAATTTTATTTCTGGATTTGTTATATCCTGAAAAGGTCATGGCAGCACACTTTCTCGCTCGGAGACTGGAAGGGACTGGAGTGAGCACTTTCTCTACTGATCCTGGATTTGTGGACACGAATATTATGAATAACTTCAGTGATTGGAAACTGATGAGCTTTTACGTTGGAGCTTATAAAAAATTTGGTGAGTACACTTCTTGGTGCATTTGAAAATTTAATATTATCATTGCCTGGCCAATTCGCTCTTTTCAAGCTCCGCCATTGGGCATGCACAGCCTCGATCTGGCAACTTTACACAATAAAAATAGCCCGTTCAGTGATCTGAACCCCGACACGGGAATCACTGAACCGGCTATAGTCATTGTGTAAAGTTGCCAGATCGAGGCTCTGCATGCCCATGGTGGAAGTGTGAAAAGAGCAAATGTGTTAACCAGTGAAGTGCATAAACTTTTTTGGTCATTTGACATGCATTTGGCAATCATCCACTGATCTTCATACTGTACTGTTTCAATTTCAGGTCCAATTAGTTTTTAGAGACTTTCATAATTATAATAAGGGTGCAAAGACTAAAATTTAACTTTGTAAGTTGCATTTCAGACTTAATGAAAATTGAAATGATTGAATGCTTTGTGTTTTTCCAAAGGTATGATACGTACTCCGAAACAGGGGGCTGCTACAAGTGTCGTGGCCTGTGTCGATCCAAGCCTTCGTGGGAAAACTGCAGTGTACCTGAAGAATTGTCGACCTGCTAACCCTGCAAGCTTCTGTTGGTAAGGCTTTGAGAAAATGCACATTTAACTGATCACACACATATAGAAAATTGGAAAAACTATTAGATGTTTTTTAGAAGAAAAAAAAGTTCCAGGCAAGAAATTTCAGAGGAAATGTGAAAACATCAAGTTCGATTCTTAAGTAGTCCTAAATTTGCTGCATGTGAATTTGGACGCTGGGGTCCTGTGATGATTCTGATTCGAGGCTCCCTTTATTATTTTTTTTATCAAACTTGATTTTTATTATGTCCATTGATTCAATGATCTTTTAATTTCTGAAGGGCCAGCCCTCTGACCGGGTCCTATGATGAGGTTTTGACTTTTACTGAAGAGACCTTTGATTTCCAGCTAATGAATCATATTTTAATAAGGGTCCTTTGATTTCAGACTCAAGGGTCCTTGGGTTTAATTTTCTTCTTTAGGGATGGCAAAAAACAGGAGGACCTTTGGAGTTACAGTCTTCGATGTCTCAATCAGTTCATCTCTGATGATGTGCTCAAAGAAGCCTTCCCTTCAGCAAGGCCAGATCTGCTGATCATTCCCAAGGACACAAGGACAGTCGAAGAGAGGATTGTAGATGATCCAGGGAAGAGAGACGGGAGATCAGATGACAAACAGATGGGAGACCAATCCAAAGGAGGAAAGGCATCTTTAGAGAGAAAGCAGGATGAGGAGCAACCAGAGATAGAGTCTTCCCCTGGAGCTGCAGAAGAAGCCTCTGAGAAGCCGAAGGCACCACAAGATTCAAGTGCAGCCAGTGCAGAAGAAAAGATGCCTGAAGTTGCACCCAGAGATGCCGAAAAGGAATGCGAGACATCCTACGACAAGAAGCAGATAGAAGAGCACCCAGAGAAAGAATCATCATTTGCAGAAGTACCCACCAAAGAAGTAAAGACAGAAGAAACAAGCAGGCAGGAATCAGAAGAAAGTATGTTAAAGGACAGTCCACCTGAGCAAATTGAGGAAGAACCATCCAAAGAGTCTTCTGAAACTGGCCAGACATCTGAAGATCCAAAGGCAGATGCAGAGGTACCTAGTGAAAGTTTAAATACATCAAAAGAACCACAAGCAAAGGAGATAGACGATGCTTCTAAAGAGGGAACAGCTGGTGCAGCATCCGCAGAAATTAAGCAGATGGAAGGGCAACCCGAGACATCTGAGGACCTAAAGGCATCTGAGGACCTAAAGGCAGATGCGAAGGTACCTGCTGAAAGTCTCCAAACATCACAAGAACCTAGTGGTCGAAAATCAGATGAAAGGGGTGTGACAGATGATGCAGCAAATGAGGAAACAGCTGTTGCGGCATCTATAACTGAGCAGGTGGAAGAGCAACCTGACGAGGAAGCTTCAGCAGAGGCAGCTCCTGAAATCGAACAGACAGCTGAATCACCAAAGGCAGATGCGGAGGTACCTACAGAAGGTCTCCAGACATCAAGAGAACCAAGTGGTCAGAAATCAGAAGAAAGGGGCGTGACAGATGATGCAGCAAATGAGGAAACAGCTGTTGCAGCATCTTCGGATAGTAAGCAGGTGGAAGAGCAACCTGACGAGGAAGCTTCAGCAAGGGCAGGTTCTGAAATTGACCAGACATCTGAGGACCTAAAGGCAGATGCGGAGGTACCTGCTGAAAGTCTCCAAACATCAAAAGAACCTAGTGGTCGAAAATCAGAAGAAAGGGGTGTGACAGATGATGCAGCAAATGAGGAAACAGCTGTTGCGGCATCTTTAACGGAGAAGGTGGAAGAGCAACCTGACGAGGAAGCTTCAGCAGAGGCAGCTCCTGAAATCGAACAGACAGCTGAATCACCAAAGGCAGATGCGGAGGTACCTACAGAAGGTCTCCAGACATCAAGAGAACCAAGTGGTCAGAAATCAGAAGAAAGGGGCGTGACAGATGATGCAGCAAATGAGGAAACAGCTGTTGCAGCATCTTCGGATAGTAAGCAGGTGGAAGAGCAACCTGACGAGGAAGCTTCAGCAAGGGCAGGTTCTGAAATTGACCAGACATCTGAGGACCTAAAGGCAGATGCGGAGGTACCTGCTGAAAGTCTCCAAACATCAAAAGAACCTAGTGGTCGAAAATCAGAAGAAAGGGGTGTGACAGATGATGCAGCAAATGAGGAAACAGCTGTTGCAGCATCTTTAACTGAGCAGGTGGAAGAGCAACCTGACGAGGAAGCTTCAGCAGAGGCAGCTCCTGAAATCGAACAGACAGCTGAATCACCAAAGGCAGATGCGGAGGTACCTACAGAAGGTCTCCAGACATCAAGAGAACCAAGTGGTCAGAAATCAGAAGAAAGGGGCGTGACAGATGATGCAGCAAATGAGGAAACAGCTGTTGCAGCATCTTCGGATAGTAAGCAGGTGGAAGAGCAACCTGACGAGGAAGCTTCAGCAAGGGCAGGTTTTGAAATTGACCAGACATCTGAGGACCTAAAGGCAGATGCGGAGGTACCTGCTGAAAGTCTCCAAACATCACAAGAACCTAGTGGTCGAAAATCAGAAGAAAGGGGTGTGACAGATGATGCAGCAAATGAGGAAACAGCTGTTGCGGCATCTTTAACTATGCAGGTGGAAGAGCAACCTGACGAGGAAGCTTCAGCAAGGGCAGGTTCTGAAATTGACCAGACATCTGAGGACCTAAAGGCAGCTGCGGAGGTACCTGCTGAAAGTCTCCAAACATCAAGAGGACCCAGTGGTCGGAAATCAGAAGAAAGGGGCGTGACAGATGCGGCAGCAAATGAGGCTACAGCTGTTGCGGCATCTTCAGATAAGCAGGTGGAAGAGCAACCTGACAAGGAAACTTCAGCACGGGCAGGTTCTGAAATTGACCAGACATCCGAGGACCTAAAGCCAACTGAAAGTCTCGGGACAGCTATAAAGAAGCCCAGAGGTCAGGAATCAGAAGAAAGGGATGTGAAGGATGATGCCTCTACAGCCTGTTCAGTATCCTCAGAAAATAAGCAGATGGAAGACCAACCCAAGGGGGAACCGTTTGCTGAGGCAACCCCTGAAATTGACGAGACATCTGAACCAAAAGCAAAGAATGAGGATACAGCAGATGAGGTGCTGGAGTTCAAAGAGGATGCGTCACAGTTGGCAACCAAAGAAAAGCCACAGTTGGCTCCTGAAACATCCACAGGTGGGGAAGATTTATCAGATGGTCAAGTAGAGGAGAAACCTACCGAAGATACTGCAGCAGCAGAAGATTCATCTGGGATGCCCGATGCTGACACGCCTACGGAGAAGCCAGAGGAAGGGTCTACGGAAGTTCCTGCGGGCACATCAGAGAAGACTGTCCTTACTGAGGAAGACGTCTCAGTCAAAGTTGAAGATGGAGAGGGGCAAGCCAGTCAGCAATGAGAAATTTGCATCAGATGCTCCTGAAGATGTTGACAACAGCAAGACAGAGTACAAATCGTAAAATCAATGGACCAAATAACCAAAGAATGACTTTGGTTACTTGAATCAAAAGGATTATGTAATATACCAAAGTTAACCACTTGCACAATTTCACATGATTTACTATTATCATTTATAAAAGGCTTAAGGGAAACCTACTCTAGGAGCAAAAGCTCCAAATTTTTTGGCTGCCATAGAATTTGAATATTAATATTTGCAATCCATGTTCTTGAAATGTTAGAGTAACCTCTGGTGGTGAGTGTAAAATGTTCAATTCCTTCATGTTGTTAAAGGGAAATACAACATTTGCAAACATCAAAAAATAAAACTATCAAATCATTTTGAAATACCTTGCTGGACTGTTAGTGAATGACAGTGTAAAGCATCCTGTAGAATCATGGCACCTGATATACTGTCATTTTCAAGAAAAGTTTTATTTTTGTATCAATTTCCAACGCTGATCGGCCGATCAGCGTTGGAAAAAACTGGCTTTTTTTTCAAATACTGGCCCCAGTTGACCATCGCACTTGTTTGCAATCGATTACACACCTATGAACGGGTACAAGCCAGCTAGACTGGTTCCCTGACTTTACAATTCCCCAATATATGTAAACTGCTCTGTTTCTTCTTAAATGGAGTCAGGGAACCAGACTACATGAAAATGATTGTTTTTCTTGGTTTTTATAGCATTTTCGAACCCAAAACCTCAAAAAAGTCAGTGTAACTATATTTGCTATATATTTCCAACCCCCCAATTCCATCCATATCTGACAATTACAGCAAAACCAAATGATGTATATTCCCTTTAAAACTGCATGTATTTAGAATGTTCAAACAATAGAGTACAATTGTATTCTTCTCCGAAATATCTAGTCGTATGTTTTGGATTTTGTTTTTGATCATTTTTCTTCCCACTAAATATCCGGATCCGCTCAGAATTTTATGTAAACACATGCTCATGCTAGTTTTGCCATTTACGATGCTATTTCGTTGCTGGGAAGAAAGTCTCGCTGTAAGATCTGCATCAATTTATCATCTGCAAGACATGTTGCCTTTGCTTCAATTATATACATTTTTATGCATCTTTAGATGTTCTTATAGTATTCATGTTTATGTATTCTGATTGTTTTCCCTCAGAAATTTGGGAAAGTGCAGTTACTTTAATGGTGCAATCAATTATCTTAAAGAAGCTTGCAATAGTGTGAGTTACTGATTTTGATGGAGTAATTTTTAACAAGAAAAAGGCTTAATACTAAAATGTTTGAGTGACTTTTACTGACCAGTACTACGCCTACATGCATACTGAAATGATGGTGCTATATTGGGCAATATATCATTTTGCGATGTATTGTGATATTTTTCCTGCCACACTGGTTTGCCAATAATGTCTTTTTTCCAAATTGTCTTTGTAAACGCAAAATGTACACGTGCATTGTATTTAGATTTTTCGCTCAAACTCGCCAGATTTTTAGGATTTTAAACTAAGCGGCCTTTTGCTTCAAGTACATGTAGTCCAATTGCCGAGGGAATCGCCCCAAAATATGCAGTTTACATATGCAATTTAAATTGTCAGTCGCATAACAGTGAAAATCATTTTTTAGAAGCAACATGCTTAGAATGGTGAAAAAGAATGTACATGTATTCAACAGCTTGTGTATTTTTTAATTTTCTGCTTAATTCCACCGTTTTCATAATTCTGCTAAAATCATCTCCAAGTTTGCTTCAGAGGAATTAAAATGCCAACAAACTACATTTATCGTTTGGTGATTCTTTCTGTATTATGATTTTCAAGAGATTTTGTGCAAATTGCTGCGTTATTTGCAATCACTTTTACAGGAAGTACAACAGAGTGCACGAGTACGGACACAAGACAGAATTGTTACTAACGGCAGCTATGTTTCAAGTTTTCAGACAAAGTTTGCTTTCAAGTTGACTCGTCACAGGCATGCAACTTTTCCTCGGATCTGCTGATTTCTTCGTTTTTACTTCTCATGAATGCCATTACAAATTGAAAAATGCTGTAAGAAGTCTTGTGCGGTTTGGAATTTCCTCCCCCCCCCCTTAATTCCCAGTTGCATGCCTGTCATCGACCTGAGGACATTGGCTGTGACTCACTTAATGGGCTACATTCACACATAAATAAACCACTGCAAGGCAAGTTCAAGCTTGAGTTCCACTTAGGTCTTTATTCTGTTCACGAACATAAAGATTTTTCTTTCTGATGCATTTCTAAACAACTTTCATTATTTTGGCAATGAGACGTCCACCCAAAACAAATTTAGTCGAATAAATGTGTGACAACCAAAAAAAATGGTCGACTCCCACCAGACAAGTCTGGCACATCAATTCTTTGACCAAGTCCACCAAAACGGATGTTTTTGAAGGAAGGTGCTAAAGCCGGGTTCAGGAAATTGTGGGCGTCGCCGCACCCTCTTTAGTGCCTGGCAACTCTGTGTTTTTATGACTGGTACTGCTTCCAGCGTGCGAGAGGACCGTAGTTGGGCAGGTACTGCACGCCGACGCCGTCTGGGATGAAGCGACCTTCGCTGCGCAGCTCCTCGAACTTCTCCCGGGTGTACTTGGTGAAACCCCATTTCTCGGAGATGAAGATCTGTTGAAGAGAATAGTCCATCACCTTATTGTGTACTGAGCATTTAGGATGGTTGAGAGTGGGTGACATTTACTTGGACAAAAAACCTATTATAGTTAAATTTAAGTCGTCACGTGCTCTGCACGCACATAATTTATAGTAACAAAATTCTTTGGAAAACCGGGGAAAATTTCCTTATTAGTAAATGTTCTCCATCTGTTATTTCATGTACTTTCAGTTTTTTGGGGTAAAGGAAATGCCCATGATTTAGATAGGACCAGAACCAAGGCAAGAGATAGGTGGAACTTTTTCAAAATAGATTATAAACAGGTTTTTAATATTTATTTCAGAACATCAAATACAAGCCAATTACTGTGTCTTCAGGTACAAACCATATGTCAAAATTTTAAACTGGGGATGCCGCATCCATCAGAAACACAAACTGAACTATTTGTCACTAATACTCGAAACCGAAGTATTGCATGTACCTCTTGCCTTTGTTTACCTTTTAAATCAGAGGAAAATCCTTGTTTGCTCTTTGCAACATACTCTGGAATCTTACCTTCTGTCTACCTGGGAACTTGAACTTGGCTCGGCGGAAGGCCTCAATGGCAGAGGCCTTGTTGCTGTCCTTGGTGCGGATGGACAGGATAGTCTGGCCGATGCGGACGCGGGCCACGGTGCCCTGAGGCTTGCCAAAGGCTCCCCTCATTCCAGTCTGGAGCCTGTGGGAAGCAGGATCGGAATGGAAAGCTGCTTTATTTACAGTGAATGTTAACCCTAATCCTGCCAGACGCAACACAGTGCGCATCAGGTGGAAAAGAACTGGTGCACTTTTATGCATTCAGTCCGGTTCATACTTCACGTGAAAGCTAAAGCGAAAGCGAAGCGAAATTCGTGGCGTCAACAATACATTCGGAGCGCGTCCACCATTGTTGACGACATGAATTTCGCTTCGCACAAGCTTTCGCGTGAAGTATGAACCGGGCTTGACCAACACCACTGCATGAATGGCCAGCTCTGAGAAACAATGAGAGCTAAGTCCCATTGAACAATGCCACAGTTGTATCCTGCTGCGTGCAGTGACCACGGACTCGGAGGCAGTGTGGCCCCGAGACTTTTTCCCCCGGATGGATCTCGCTACATTTGGCAGGCATGTCACTTAGTCAAGTCTTGCATGTCGCTAGGTTTGGCAGGGTTCTAGCAAACATACCCTGGAGGGTTAGGGTTAAGGAGAGAATGCGAAATTAAACACGTGGTAACCCCAGGTTTACCTCGAGGTTTTACAGTGTACCTCGGCCCTCGGGGTTGTACCTCGCATTACCACTTGTTTAATCTGGCATTCTTCCCTTACCCCAGCTGCACCAACGGACTCAGCTTCTTGACCATTCCTGAGATCTCAGTGGGAGGGAGACATGAGCGTTTTGGTTAGCTCGTGTATGGCACAAAGTATGCACATTTTTTTTTTTCTGAACATTCACAATCCTGTACTGTTTTAGTGTGAGCATCAGCTGAGCAATGCATTTGATGTATAGCCCAGCCACTGTTACTTCGGTCCTAATCCTAAGCCTTTTTTCTTTCAAAATTCTCCAGCTACCGCCATGTAAACATTGGATACAGTCTCAATCTTCCACATCATCCGTTCTTTCTTCATTTTGTTCGGTGGAGGGGTGACCACTGCCTCGCCCCTTCAAAATCCTCCAACAATCACTGCTGTAATAATGCAGCATTTCCGATGATATCCAGCAGCAGTGCCGTATATATGCAGCACAATGTATGCCTAAATGTTTGCACGGCTAAGCATAAACAACGCAAGATACAGCTTAAGAACTCGACACAATGCATCATCCAAAAAAAACCCAACCAGCAGTAAACAAGCATAGAGCCTCAATCCACCAATATCCTACAAAAGCGCATAGTTGATATTGGAGTATTGGGGTTAATTAGGGCTTGATGTACCAATTTGGTTCCAGGCTTGGCGTACTCATTTTGATGAAGTGCAAAGATTTTTGTATGGGGTTGCCTGCAAATTGTTGGATTTTGAAGGATTCAGGCTGCCACCTAGATTTTGGAGGATTGGGGTAAAATAGGGCTTGATGTACCAACTTGGATCCAGGCTTGCCGTACTCATTTTGATGAAGTGCCAAGATTGTTCTGTGGGTTGCCTGCAATTGTTGGAGTTTGAAGGATTCAGGCTGCCACCTAGCATAAATGCCAAAGAGAGCCATAAGGGGTTGAACTGTGAAAAAATTTCCAACGGATCGTGAGACTTACCTATCGGCCCCAGCACACGACAACATTTTGTTGATGCGCACGACGTGGAACGGGTGCAGACGGATCCGGATGTGGAAGGAGTCCTTGCCGCAGTGCTTGACCATGTACTTGTTGGCGCAGATGCGGCCAGCCTCCAGGGCCTCCGATGAGAGCTGCTCAAACTCGCCAGAGACCAGGTGGATGCACAGGGGGAAGTCGTCCACGCGAGCCTTCTTGCGGCCCAAGTCATAGATGCGCAGCTTGGAGTCTGAACCAAATAAAATATGATTATTATTTCTTTTTAATAATTAACCATATGAGCCTTCCCAAGTCCATCAGAATCCATCACAGCGATGCGAAAAATGCTTTATTTTTGTACCCCAAAAATTTAGGTTCGCTTACTGGGAACACAGCTTTTTGGGGGGGGGGGGGGGGGCCCAAAAGGTTCATCTTAAGTCATTTCACTTCCTTGTTAAATATTTCCATGGGTTAAATTTTTTTTGATAAAATTTATTTTAGGACACACATTCTTGTAGTCTGAGTATCACCTGTTATCCACAGAGCTAAGTCTCCTGTATAACGTCTGATATGTCAAAGCATGCAGATTTAAGCGATCTCGCGCCTCAGCCAATCGGAGTCGACTTTACTCAATCGTCACGTCGTTTCATTCCCAAATCAGGACTAATCGTGTGATTGGTCAATTCGAATGCAGTGTTTTGCAATACAACAGCTGCCAGGCTGAGTGACCCCAGCCTTTGTTGCTGTGTCTAGGGTATTTTTGTATCCATGTCTATGACGCGAAAACAGTGAATGACTGAAGACTAATATAGAAAGCGCCCGCTGATTGGTCAAAATCTAGAGGTCAAGATGCAGTTGCCTTGCATAATTAATCAGCGAATCTGCTCAAATGTTATAGACATACATTCTTGCACCTTCTGACAGGAAGCTTTTACTAAGCGATTTTCATTCAACCAAATTAAAAATGCAACCAAATAACTGACTGACCAGATGATAAAAAATAAACCTACCTGGGACACCACGGCAAAACCTTGACTTTGGGTATGGCTTGTTCTTGCAGTAGCGATAACTGCAACAAAAGACAAATGACATTGACTTACTGATTACAACTGTTATAAAAAAAAACGAAGAAATGAAATGAGGTTGGCCATTTTTGTCGGGTTCCCTGAATGTATTTCATAAATTGTGAAGTGTTGAATGGGTGGTGCCAGACTATTGATTCACTAACGTTACAGCCTCACTTACGTTTTTTTTTTTTAAATGTGGCTTAAAACATCAGACTAATTTATGTTTAATCACAAATTTTAAAGTTTTCATCAGAGCAGACTGGTGGAAGCCTATTAAATAATTTGCAACGTCAATTTTTAAGTTCCAAATATGAAGATTTTAACTCACTCTCAATATAATATGATATGGCCTCCCCCCCAAAAAAAATTTGTGGGACAATTCGAAGAAAAACAGGAAATTTTGATGGAAAAGTTAAACTCAAAACTATCGGTTAAACATGGCATGCTAAAATGGTCGGTTTTCCAATTAAAATCGGACAAGTTTCATCTCCGGTCAAAAAATCAAAACCCTGACCACTGCTGACCTCTATCCATGAAACTCGTGTTGGTTTTAAATATCGCTAAACTACTTGGGCGAGTCCAATAAACTAAACCTTGGGCGATCGTGTAGTGTAGGGCCCGGTTCCTAGTATAACTTTAACAAGTATAAGGGAACAAAATCCACTTTAAAATTATCAGACCGACCAAACTAGTTGGCGACATTCTCAATAAACAGGTATGTCATAGATAGAGGGCAGGGTTTTGATTTTTTTAGGGAAATTTTTGGGTAAAATGATGATGACAGCGCGGCGACAACACGCAACCCGAAATTGGGACGAAAATAAAGATGGCGATCACCGCGCGATGTAACGCGAGCACGGACGGTGCACTGCATCACAAGGCACAAACCAAAGAGTAATTGCCTGATTGCAGAATACCCCGCCACTCGGAAATCATGGAAATACACCCCTAAATCTCTGGCTACGCACTTGGAATCATAGATCGAGTGGCGGGGAATTCTGCAATTGTGCCCAAACCGCGCAAAAAAATCGTGATTTCTACCAAAATAAGGCAAAATAAAAAAAAAGACTATTCAAAATTGCAAAACGGGTGTCCTTAGACAATGTTAGACATGTTAGAATTGAGAATAGTCTGCTTTTGATAGACAAGTAAAGGTGATTTTTGAGCAATAAAAAACATTATTGACTCTAATTTGATCAAACAAAACAGGGGCCCTACACTTCACGATCGTCATAACTTGGGCCCGTCGTCACACAATCGCAATGTCCACCCCCGGGCCCCATAACATTTTCATGTTGATCATATCAACTCACCATCTTGCTGGTCGTCGCCCCATCTTGCCTGTTTTAAGGCTGAAAATAAACAAAAATGAGAACACCAATTGATATTTAAATATAACCAAAGTATTTTCTCGTTATCTGTTATTAACAATCCGACAATAATAACCGTACGGGTGGTTGTGAAATGACGATGACGCAGGATTTTTTGAAGATTTTTTTTACATCGATCTCACCTTTCCGTGAATCAAGGGCAAAAGAGGCCGATAGAGGGCGCTACATAAAGTTGCCACCAGTTTAGTCATAGAGTTTAGTCGAGTCGCAGTCATTTGGATAGAAAATCTACCTTCAGTGATTTTTAAATTTATCTCAAATCAATTTGTATTGATTCTGAACAGACTCATATAGAATACTCTAGACTCTGTATTGTCCACAACTTACAAAGAACATGAAGAATAAGATTTTTGTATCTGAATATTACTGTTGAAGATTATTTTTATGAGAAACGCCAAAAGTGAGCAGACTGAAACTTGTTTAGTCTTTGATAAAACTCGACAACAGAGGGCGCTCGCCGTTCCAGATCCAGCTGCTGTTCAAGTTTCTCTCGCTTTGCGCCGCCTTGCAGTTGCATGCATGCCTCGCTTGTAAACAACTAAAATCAACCCTTCCTAAAAATATTTTAACAAAATGTCAGTGCTTTGGTGATCAGTTTCTAGTGTAATTGTAAAATTATAAAACACATGCCAAAATGGCAACAAGGGATCCTTTGCTGAGCAATCTGAAAGGTAAGTTCAAGTTGTCATTTTTTTTGCCGGTTCAAATTTTGTGTGTGTGTAATAATATTATAATGTTAGTCATGTTAGTAATATTGTTATGTTTAACCAAGTTGTCTTGCATTTTTTTCATTAGCCCCATCCACTACCACTAACGTTAGGCACTAGTGGTGTGGCGAAGGTATTGTTGCGTTGGGAAATAATGTTGCATTCTGATGCCACTTTTTTTCATCATCATGATCATGTATTATGTCAATGTCAATAGAGGTCAGTCATGTCAGTTAGTGAGTTACTGTAAAATTGTTTAAAAGACAGTAATAAACAGTAATCTGGGAATGAGAAACATTTTCAATTTTGTTACTATGTTAATAGAAAACACTTTGCAAATATTCTTGACTCTCCATAGACTTTGTACACAACCCACAAAGTGGCTTCTGAATGTTCGGAGTGTTGCTTGACTCGAGTGTTGCTTGACTTGAGGTTGAAAAAAAAATTGAATATTGTCTTCCACAGCAACTTATATTGGTCTGTCTGTAAGGTTTGTAAAAACCTTACAGTTCTGGTAACTTCTGGAAGTACAGAGACATCATTCTTTCTTTATGTTTCCTACATGTATGTATTGTAGCTGTGCTGTTGAGGCTGAAGGAGAACAAACAGCCAATCACAGACGGCGACCCAGACCTTCTGATTCTTTGTGACACAATGGAGTGCATCCTGCGCAAGGGACTGAAAAGTAAGTATAGTGCTACTCACTCATTGCGCGGAATCACGATATTAAAACATAAGTCATGAGGGCCACCGGATTGTGGACCACGTTGAATGGGGGTGTGGTAATAAAAAGGTTGCCTACAGATCATCTGTGTTGGTAAAGATAGCCAAAAATTGTCTCATCACCTGGCTGCTGCAAATTAAAAAAACGGGGGGGGGGGGGGGGGTTGTTGTTGTTGTTGTTGTTGTTCTGTAATTTACTTAGACTCGCTCTACGCTGATTCAATCAAAATTGGTGAGCAAAAGTTTTTGTCAAAGTGAAATTTGACCCTTTTCGAAAACCACAATTCCACAAATACATTTATATCCTTAAAACCCTAATCCCCTAAGCTTTTTTGCTAAAAAAAGATGTTAAAATTGGATACAGCCTCGATCCTCCAAAATCATCTGTTATTTCTTGAATTTGCTAACCCTAACCGCCCAGAATCTTTCAAAATCCTCTTTGCCAAAGTGGAGGAATTTGGTGGATTGAGGTTACGTGGCAAAAGTGCGTTACTGATTTCGTAGGATGCACTTTGTCACGGTCTTGGGCCGGACCTTGTGTTGTTTTTGCTCAGCCATGCATATAGGCCTGGATTATACTTGAAATCCTCGGTACTACTCCAGGTTGTCACTGGCCAAGCCTCAACATATTGACAGTCACTGCCGCAAGATTTTGCAGGATTCAGGCAGTGGTCACCCCTCCACGGACAATATTCAAGAAATAATGAAGGAATTTGCAGGATTGAGGCTATTTGCTATTTTTCCATGAGGCCAATTGGAGGATTTTGCAGGATTGAGGCTACATCCTAGCAAAAAGGCTAAGGGAGTTGGGGTGACAATTGGATGGGTGACAACTGCCTAAATCCTGCAAAATCTTCCAACAATCACTGTTAATTAATACGCTGAGGCAGATATGATTTTCATAAGCAGTCCGGAGGATACAATCTAGGCCTAAATTTATGCAAGGCTGCATAAACAACACGAGGTTCAGCCTAGACCTTAGCACAATGCATCCAAAAATCAACTGACACATTTTTTCCCTACAACCTCAATCCTTGGAAATCCTACACTTATGCAAAGAGGATTTTGGAGGATTTGGGAATTAAGGTTAGCGATTTATATTATTCAACTTAATATAAAACTTGCATTTTCCAAAGGAGAAATTTAAAGTTGAACATAAATTGTATTTTAAAATGGCTACTATTTGAAATGTCTGGCAGGGCCATTGAACAAACAGGAGCTGCATTCGTGATTTTTGACCGCTCGGTATTTTATTGAATTTTCCCCACTAGAGCCTGGCTCCTTGTTTGGCTTATACAAGCGAGACTACTGGTGTTGGATGGAGTCCATGACCACCGCCCCAGGAAGTGCCAGGTATGGACATGGGTCACTCCATCAAATTTAGGGTCCAAAAGTCTGACATTTTTTGCGTGTCCCTGTTAGTGTTACACCTGACCTGTGTAATTTGCCATTCGAGTACCATTAAAATCGACTTCACACTATTTTTTATGTTCAGCGGGTACTTTGCTTTACATAATGACTCTTGGATATAGAAGGCATTAAAGGGGCACTAGATCCTGAAATCCCCGAAAATGTCATGTTTTGGATCGTTTACTTATCCTATTTCAAACATCTGGTTCAAAAGGAAACCAATCTAATGTCTTACAGTTCCCAAGAAAAGACGAAAAAACCTCGGTTGTTTACATCGGACACGACAGAATACGAATACGCTTTTCCTGTCGTTTTTACTTTCAGTCAGTGTACGTACGATATATATATACACAGCACCGTGCGCGCGAACAGCGCCCGGTGACCAATCACCAACGCACAAAATAGTTTCTTACACGTCCGCAAAAGGTGAACACTTAAACAGCTCGAATTTTTGGGGTCGCAAAAGTGGACCCTGAAATTCGTTCACACACGCATAATACAGGAATAACACAAAAACACCCAGTTTTGAAAGGATAGTTGTGTGGATGTTTACATGTATATCTTACTTTTAAATGTTCTTTCAGATTAACATCATTTCGTTCAAAGCGCGTTTAGTAGCCCAATTGGGCTGTTCTAGGACCTAGTGTCCCTTTCAATAAAAAGAATGTGTCCTGAATTACAAAATCGTATCCATGTCAGATGTAACAGGGACACAAAAAAGTGGACCTAAAATTTATGGAATCACCCGTTTTGTAAATTCAGGACACGCTCTGTAATGCCTTCTATATCTCCAAGATTGATTATGTATTAAAAGGAATGTACATCATTGGCTTTCGCTGTAATTTTCAGAAATGAAGTAGTTGAGGGGTTAGTATAATAGATCAAATTATTGTTGCACTGACATGTTTTAAGTTTTGTGTCTGAAAATGCTGGAAAAACCAAGAAAAACAAAAATGTTCAAGTAATCTGGTTCCCTGACTCCACTAAAGATGAAATGGATCAATTTATAGATGCCGGAAAATTGTTAGGTAAGGGAACCAGTCTAGCTGGCCTGCACCCGTTCATGAACATATAACCAATAGCAAACACAATTTGGACTGAAACAAATGATAAAGATGGAGCAGTAGTTGAAAAATAGTTAGGTCTTTCCAACAGTGGTCAGCCGTATACAAAAATACCATTTTCTTGAAAAATACCATTTTCTTGAAAATGACTTCACACCAGGTCCCATAATTTTACAGAATGCTTTAGACTGTCATTAACCAACATCCTAGTAAGGTATTTTGTAAAAACTTGGTAGTTTTATTTTTCGATGTTGTATGTTGTATTTTCCCTTTAAACAAAGAACCTGCCCAACACTTACAAAAATAGTTTGTTAATTTTTACGATAGTTGTATGGCAAATAACACAGGTCAGGTTTAACAGGGACAAAAAAAGTCACTTTTTTTGGACCCCACATTTGTGGACTTGCCAATATTCTGTACATTTGTGTATACATGGACTTTGTGCATGAACAGTATATTCATATAGTGCTCTCTGAGCACTAATGAGAACTCCATATGTTGGACACACTTCATGCACGAACTAGTTTGTGCATGCAGTGTGCACATACCATGAATTTTATGTGGAGTGCCGTGGCCTCATGATCGGGAGCATTGAATTTGTGGTCTGCGGGTAATTCCGCAGGTTGTGGGTTTGAGCCCAGCCTGGGGTTATGGTGCGTGTGCCCTTGGGCGAGGCACTGTGTCACTCATTGCTTCTCCCCACCCAGGAGTAAATGGGTACCTGGGAAGGCAGAGATGGTTATTGTGATTGATTTTAGCTGCTTTGCGCCGAAATGGCAGCGTTGAGCTGTATACTCCCCAGGGAGCTGAGATGGTATTTGGAATGATTCATTGGCCCAATGAGCAGGGTAATTATGATGTAGTGCCTTGAGCACCAACATTGGTGGATACGTGCGCTAAATGTGAATGAGCACAAACTGGCAGAAGTAGTCCCACCTAAAGACCAGTTCATAGTTCGTGCAAATTTGAAGCGAATATGAGATCAGGAAATATTCACTGTGAAATATATGCGAGATTGAAGTGTGTTCAACTGTTTGCATGTTTTCAGCATGAATTTGCATAAATTTGCATTCACGTTCACACCGAGCACGAACCAGCCTTAACTCTCTTTTCGTAGCTGTTGAGGGGGCATTTACTTGTTCAGAAAGTCCATTCTATGTACATGGGATTGGTGATTTTAGCCCCAATGAATTGGTAGGGCTGTGACAAATATACCAATATTCAAATATTCGATCAACCAAATATCCGAGTAGTCACTATGTTCGTATTATTAATCGTATTAGTTGCATATTTTTATTGTTTGTCAGAAA